CGGTGGAGAGCTGCAAATTTTGTCCTATATTCGGCACTTACGGCCATTGAGCAGTGAGGGATCTTTTTCGTGCCAGCACCTACTGCGACACGGGACCTCGGTTTATACGGTCTCATCCGAAGGACCGGTCTCCACGTCCCACAGTGGGATTCGAACCCGCGACGTAAGGATCAACTCCTTACTCCGCGACTCTAGAGCAGACGCTCTAACCATTGCGTCACGCGGGCGACAATTACAGTGGTACATGTAAAAACAAATGAAAAGTTCGTAAAACTAGTATAAATAATTTTGTATATGCTACAGCTGCGAATGAAACATGGATATTTTTTCTACACTTTGCATTTTATTATGTTGTCCATCACCGAGCCATGCATAGTCTGTATCAGCGGCATCATCACGTGACAAAGATCGGTGTATCAGCACTGGTTCATCTGTATATTTGAATGGCTTACAATATTTATTATCTATTACATGTCATTGATTTTCTTATCGATGAATCAATTTGATGAACAAAAACACAGAAATTTCTTTTCTCTTAATTTTTTGCCCATCCTTTTTTTCTTTTTTTTGGGGGGGGGGGGGTTGTATCCTGAAATAAAAATGTTAACTCTTTCAGCTTTGAATATCTTGCGCTTTCCTTAAAAGTTTACTTGTGAAAATACTTTGTTCCCATAAAACATATTGACCCCATATTGCAGTCACAGCCTAAGCCTTGAATCCACACATTTGAATGATCCAGTATCAATATGTATAACATGACCCATGGAGAAGATTTACCTCCCCTTCAAAAAGGGCATGGTTCTTCACTTGAACAAATTTGATCTCCTTCTCCAAAGGATGCTTTGTTGAAATTGGCACACTGGTTCTGGAGAAGTAGAAAATGTAACAAGATTACAAATAATGGACAACACACAATGGGCACTGGACACGCTTCTCTCAGAAAAGCTCACTTGAGCCTTTGGCTCATGTGAGTTGATATTTTCCCAGTGTATTCTCCTGTAAAACTTTGACCCTCTATTACAGCCCCAACCTACCCCCAAGGGCCAAGCTTAAGATTTAAACAAATTTGGATCTGCACTTACATTTGATGCTTGGATATTAATATCACTTATCATGGCTTTGTAGTTGTACAAGATTTTTCTTCCTATATATATTCTCCTGTAAAACTTTGACCTCCTATTGTGGCCCCATACTTCTTCCAGGGGCCATGATTTGAACAAACTTGAATTTACATTAAGTCAGGAAGATTTTGTATAAGTTTCATCTTTTCTGGCCCAGTGGTTCTTGAGATTTTCAGGATAACCATTCATTTTTTCATATCCTTGATTATCTCCCCTTATAAGAGGGCGTGGTCCTTTAATTGAATAAATTTGAATTTCATTTACACAAGGATACTTTGTACCAAAATTGGTTTATATTGGCCTGGCGTTTCTGGAGGAGAGGATGAAAATATCAAAAGTTTATGACAACCCCCAATGACAACAACAGACGATGAACAAATTTTGATCAGAAAAGCTCTCTTAAGCTTTTGGCTTAGCATCGTTTCAAGCCACTGTTCAGAGTCTGCATTTAGCTCTCTCCTGAATGGGAGAGGATCACATATATTGACTGTGGTTTGCAACAATGTTGGCTTAGGCGAGTTAAAATGAGAAAGGGGGTCTAATCCTAAATCCACCGCCAGAGTTCATTTTCTGACCATGCTTTAATCACTCAATCTAATCATACGAAATATTCTCTTCTCATTCTACCACTGCCAGAATAGGAGACGATCATACATTTTGACCGTGGTTTGTGATGATATTGGCTTAGGTGAGTTAAAATTAGAAAAGAGGTTCAATTTTAAATCTACTGTCCAGCAAAATGGCCTGAATTAATGTGTTCGGTATTCAAATTTTCTGCAAAAATTACAAAAAATACAAATAGAACAGGCATTATAATCAATTTATTGAAAAGCATGTACAGAGTCCTATTTATAATTATACTTTAACTTTCTCTTTTGATAACAATAATCTCAATAACTTTAACAAATATCACAGCCTCATGGCACTTTAAGTTTTATCACAGCAAGAGAGATAAATCAAATACAAGGGTGGAAACTGGAAATATCAAAACACTACATTTATGATTATTTCTATATTTGATAGCTTAAGTTAACACCATTTTACATCCACGATACAATTTTACATCTCTTCGTAAGAATTTTGATTTAACCTAAAAGCTCAATAATTTGTTTACAAGTATATGGTGGTGCAAAAAAAAAAAAAAAAACAGAATGATGCTGCGTTTACTTGCTATCTTTGAAGCTGGCTGGCATTTTTTAATACAACAAAATAAATAAAATTTAAGACAGAAATCAAAAGACACATAACCAACCAATAAAATCCATATTAGCCTATGGAACTATGAAGTATTCATTTAATTTCTTTTTAATATAAGAAAAACATAAAAGAATACAACATACAATCCATATAAATGTATGGAGGAAAAAGTCTTAACATTTTTACTCTAGCTACCATACTAACAATGACCACTCGTTAAGTATTTTTTTTCAAAATTATAAACTGCAAATGTGGGAATATCAAATGCAATATTTAAGTACAAGTAGCTAAATCACTTTCATTCCCTTTCCAATTTACAAAAACATTGGAATAAAAAAGAATGTTTAACTTGAAAATTCATAGTAAATTTTCAAACATCAAAATAGCTGCAACAATTCATTAGCAATCATAACAATTAGTACCTTGTAAATCTTGTATGATATACAAGAAAGCATACATGTCAATGTCTAACATAGCTGCCTTTAGACCTTAGGCTTTGTACAAGAATACTTTTTTGGGGATAATTACTATTTCAGTGCTTTTTAGTATGCATATAGGATAATCAGTTTATTTATTCACCTACCTAAATAAGTAAGAAACAATGCAAGAATAAGTCTATCTGCAAAAAGCAATGCCCCTTTGTGACAAAGACTTAATAAGTGAACATTTCATCAAACCCTATTAACAAGAGTATTGTTAATTGTACAATATATACTCATCATTAGGTTCATAAGATCTATTTCAATTTTATTTTAAAGTTTCTATTACATGTACCATAACTCTATATATAAAAATCATAATCAATGACTAAAATGAATTTCAAAAAAAGACTATACAAAACATGTTTAAAACCCTAGTAAACAGAAAACCAAAAGTTCAAGTCCTGGAAAATCTTAATATCTTTTGAGATATATAGGTGAGGTCAATAATGAAAATGAAATACACAAAACATTACTGAAGAAATACATTTACATAAATGTAACTGTAAAGATTGACAATGAAGTTATACCACATGCTTGAAAAAGCATACATTTCTAATGACCAATGATCAATATTATTTTATCATTCATGATGGAACCCATAACAGGCAATCATGTCTACAAGCAGCAGGCTAGTGAATACAATCAATCTAAACGATAATATTCTGCATTGCTTGATATTTGTAAATACCTTAAAGGTAGAATGTTTGTTAATTTCAGAAAAAAGAAATATTAGAAATTAAGGAAAAATAGTAAATACAAATTGTGAATGAGCATCTTACTTGTAAGTACATATGTACAAATTATGGCATATGGCAGCATCATCATTTGACTGGCTGTTTCCTATAACCTAATGACATGTTCTCTCTGACATATGGACATCTAAGCATTCTCCTACCTTTCAATGTTCTCAAAATTATCACAGGTACTGAGTACAAAAAATATCAAAAGATTACATTAGAGGAATAGGGTATTTCTTTTTTAAATACTGTCAGAGAAAAACTCTGATGCCTATGATTGAATATAGGACCAAATGCTGTAACTCTGTAAAAATTGGAGAAAATCACACTCTTGAAACCAAGTACAAAATCAAAATGTCAAAGCAAGACCCTCAAAAAGTCCAGAAAACTGATTTTGATGAAAAATTTTCAAAGGGCCATAAGTCTGGTAACATCAGACAAAACCCCTTAAAGGACTTATCGCATGATCTTTCAAAAATCGTAATTTTATGAAAAATATTATCTACAACCTTGTTTATTAAAATACTGAATACAATAAACGTTGTTGAAAGCATATTTTAAGAGATATTGAGAGCTGGAATTCAAATACGGCAATATGCATATTTCAGTCGGATTTCGGCGAAATACTGCTCTGACGTCATAGGCGACAATTCAGTGATAGAGAGATGAGAATATGCACACTATTTACGGAGTTATCAACGACAAATGCAGCTTAATTACGAAAAATGATGAAAAAATTAATTCCTAACGTGCTTTTCTATTACTTTAGAAACATTAACTAGATCTAAAGTATAAGGCTTTTGAGATATTTTCGTTTTTTATTCGAAACATTTAGAATCTGTACAGCTCCGATTACGGCAATGTCTCGTGATCGGAAAATTATTTTTCAAGACCCCCATCCTTTACAAAACATAAGTAAATTAATGCCATGCTAAAAACCAAGAATAACAAAGTTATACAATATTAAATTTGTGAATCAAATAAGTTAATACATGTGATAAGATGACAAATCAAATTGTATTGTGATAGCGAGTTTCTTCGTCTTCGCCGAGTCTCCTTCGATATCGTCGCTTCTATTTTTACCACTGTTTACAATGTTAACAGATTTTTCAGATTTTTTCTTGCTGACAATTCTAAAATATAAGGTTGGATTTTCAATTTCATATCGATAAAATCAGTGATTTGGTCGTCCATAATGCAGAAAATTCAGGTTGTATCGCATATATTTTAGTAAGCTAAACGTGAAGAGCTGATCAGCCATTGTCGCCTTTTACGTCACAGGGTCACGTGATCGCTATCTAATTAACTTAGATTTTTAATTCAGAGGTTTTCATTTGAGTCAATAATTGGTTAATTACCGCGGTTTATTCGCAGTAAAAACACAAAATTTATAAACTGTGGTCATAAGGAACGTTTTACGCTTTTAATTTCAAATAATTTAGAAACATGCGATAAGTCCTTTAAAACTTGAATTTTTAATGTACATACTTCATCATTATAAGATCAAATGGCAAATCTAAATTTCCTACCTCTATCCACCTCTATCCAAATGAAAGTGTGAAGAAATGAATTGTCCACAGATGGGTGGAGAGACAAACAAAAGGACAGACAGACCAAAATACCTCTGTCTAAAAGATGGGAATGCCTATACATAAGCAAGAAAATGTTGACTGCCTTAAAGGGACACAACTGCAGTGCATCTAGTAAAAAACATTTACCGGGGTAACAATGTACTATGAATTCAGCCGCAAGTCACCTTTAAGATGATTAAGTGGTCATCTTTGTAATAAAATTTATGCCAAGTTGTTACTGAGCTTAAAGTACTTCAATACCCCTGTTTCAATACTACTGTTTCGCACACACATTCACACACACAAAAAAAACCCTGCACAATCAAGACTACACACTGCTTTCCTTTTCTTCTGGACAAGTCTACTCCTCATATTTCTATTGCCATGTTATAACAAAAGGTACTATTTCAAGCATATGTAAGGTTGAGAAATATACAGAAACTGACTTCCCAAACACAATATGTAACATAAAACAAGTTTCTAATATCAAACTTGCAAATATTAATATCTTAATTAAGTTACTTGTGCTGCACTTTCTTTGCTATTTTCCACAGGTTAGGTTTTCTGGGAGTCTGCAAAATAAAAAGGAGTAAGATTATATCCCTGTACTGCATCATAATTGCTTCAAAACTTTGTAAAATAATCTAATTTAGCCACAAAGGTTACTTTTTATATAGGCACCTTGCCTGTAAAAAAAAAAAAAATGATTTTCTTGCAAGTATATGTATATTCATATATTAATTATTTCTTGATGAGTTTCTGTTATATTACATATTTATTGATGAGTTTGTCTGTTGAAATCAGCGGCATGACAGATGGACGACCATGAGCACACTGGAATGGGAGGTGGCACTGGGCTAAGGACACTAAAAGGTTCATACATTCCTCCTTAGAAAGAGGGTCACCGAACTTGATAGCCCCTACAATTAAACAACATAACTGATACAAATGTGCTGCTGTATAGGTAATGGAAACTAACCAATGACAAGTGCTTCGAGTATTTATTACATATTTGAAAGATATTCATATATCTATTTTTCAATATACAGTTAACTTTGGTATCTCAAACACCGATATCTCGAATACCATGGATATGTCGAAGTCATTTTGAAGTCCCAACTGCTTATTCCTTATCTATTTTACCCTGGATATCTCAAATCCTCAGTTATCTCGAAGTATTTTCTCAGTCCCTTCGAGTTCAAGATAAGAAGGTCTGACTGTATAATGTTTCTACTATATAATGGAAGAGGCTCTGAGTATTTGCCTTTCATAAATTAAAGGAAAACTTTCCCATAAAATTTTCCACAGATAATGAACAACATGAATAATTTGTGAGAACAGACCTCTGCAAGCCAAACCACATAGCAGTTTATGAATTGTCAATGGCATGTGATCTTTGGCACCTTTAGTTGACTTTAAAAACTGAAAGAAAAAAAAGTTGATTGAACATATGAAGATGGCTTTAGCAAATATTCTTTTCAAGTCTTGACTGTTATCCTGCTTTATCAGTTGTAAATTACTTGCTTATACCTCTAGAATGTTGTATCATGTGAATGCATATATATGTCTAGGCCTTTTGAATAATTCAGAGTAAGGAGCCTTACCTGTACATGTTCTGTGATGGTATTCTATAAAAAAAGAAAAGAAAAACATTGGTTTATAAATAGTTTTTGACAAAAAGTGTATCTCATTGAAGACACCTCAATTACATATTTTATCCTCAATTTAACATTTTTTTGCCAGTGACTACCTACCTTGAGAATATTTAAGATGACAATGCCTTCTCTCTGTTTTTCTTCTTTTTTCGTGATACAAGATGGAATTTCCTTTATCAATACTGAATGTCTGGAGAGCTTGCTTTTGGAGAAACAAATTCCTTTGAAAAAAACACAGATTTATGAAACACAATGCCCCAAACATTGTTCAAATTTTTCTGAATTCAAATAACATAAACTTTGATCTTGATCTTCAATTGTCAACATTAATGGTAGACATGTGCATAACTTGTATTGTTCAAAAGTTATTACCAAGATTTATAATTAAGATGTGGACACACAAAAAGTATGACAGAGAAACCAAGAACAGAATGTCCCAAACATGCAATCTTTGGTACATAGCAAGCTTAAAAAACTTTATATTGCAATAAATTTTTGCAGCAAATGTTAGTAGAAATATAAAGAGATCAAGAACACTCTTTATTTACACTCAACAAATACTGAACTCACCAATTCTTTGGAATTCCCCTCTAAAGGCCTCCATGACTCTAACATCCTCCTCAGTCAATTTAAGTTCCTCCTCAGAACTCAAGAGACAAGACTTGAATTGTCTCCCTTCATCACTTTCATAGCAATCTACGGCATCAAACATGTACAGGCATTAACATGATTTCAATGTTACAATAACTTTAAATACATTCAGACAATAATTATTATGAATGGCAAGGTAATTTTTTTTTTAGTAAAACACATTAAAAATTTTTCAAACATTCTCAATCAGAATTTTAAAATGTATATCAAAACTATGGTAATAAGAGAGTGAAATTAATTGTGAACTACATGGATGAACAATTAAAAAACACATGTACCTTTAGTAAGTTGTTCTAGTCTAACTCTCTCGTGGGCAGCATGTTGATCAAACACCACTAATAATCCAGACCCTACAAACAACATCATCTCTTGTGAGAGATATGGTCTACTTTCAACTTTATAAAGTATCAATAAAAAAAATTTTATAAAAAAAAATCTTCCTTGGAATGGATCAGCTCTTACCTTTAAACTGATTTTCTGTTTTCAGAACACAGATGATGAACTTGTTATCCATTTGACCCAATACCTGTATAATCATCGTAATATATCATTTAAACAATAAAATGCTTTTATTATTTGTTATTAGAGAATTTAATGGTTGTGATATTGCAGAAAAAATACATGTACATACAGTAACCCATGTAAGTGGGTTATGTAATTTTGTTTATGCAATTGTTGCAGCTGTTAATCCTCCTATTTATATCTGTAGAAAATATTCATATAAAGAGGGTGAAAGTATATTTAAGAAATGTTTTTAAGTTTTATATGAGTTATTGGTGTGTAAATCGCACAGACTTGTCGCAAAACGCGCTAGCGCTTCATGAAAAATATGCCTACGTGCAAGTCTGTGTGATTTACACACCAATAATTCACACTAAACTGAAAAACATTCCTTATATTTACATTTTACAAGTTTAAAATTACCAATAATATACTCAATATTTGAATTTCTTGCTGCCCTATATTGTTACATTTTTATTAACGTCTCTGTAGCCTCATTGTAATGTTACTTTAGCGCAAGTTTCACCGTGTACATTCTTATGCGTGAGTATACACAAAAATGACTTTCAAATCAATTTCACAGTTGGCTTAGTAGAAAATCACAGCAAATGTAAATATAATGTATTATTGTTCCTCATGTTACTTTGATAGAAGAGCCCACTTCTTAAAAGATTTTGTCATACACATACACTTTATAAAATCCAATCTAACTATAGTTTAGAGTTGATCAAATGATTAACAGAAATTTATTTTTTGAAGAAATAAAGGAGAAAATATTCAGTGGATGTAAATATCACATAGTAAGTGCATATATTTTCAAGCACATAAGCACATCAACATTAGACTTTGAATTATTATTGGTGTAAACCCCCATTTCCACCCACACACTCAAAATAAAATGTATAAGTACAGAAAACTGAAGTCTCTGAATCCCAAGGACAAAGAGAACAGCGGGATTCCTTTTAATTAAAATGTAAATTTTATATAAAAAAAATATTCAAACTGACCTCTACATCTTTTAGCATGTCCTTTGTAAATGTACACGGATTGAGTGACCTCTGGGCCTTGCTGGCTCCGTACGTTCTTTCCTTTTGTGTCTCAGCATTTAGTACCTCCTACAAGAATAACTCTATTACACAAAACTAAATTGTAACTGCATTTTGAATGGCACTTATCAAGCCACCAATTCAATCTGGTTGGCATATTAGCAAGCAATTACAGTGTAATTCAAACATTGCATATTAATAATACCGTCAACAATATCAAACAAGAAGTCTGTGAGCCAATGCTCACTAGTAATACCCCCACTTTAATGTGAATGTACACAGGTCCAGTTATGGACAGACACAAGGATAAACAAGAAGTTGACATCAGACTCCTACAAAATGAATCCCTCCATATGGCATGCCTAAACAAAGAAAGTGCTAAAATTTCAAGCATCTGCAATCAGTAGTTGCTGAGAAAACTGCAACCAAAATTTTTATGTATGGTACGGACAGACGCACAGACAAACAGGAAGTTGACATCGGATTCGTACAAAAATGAATCCCACCATATGGCATGCCTAAACAAAAAATGTGCTAAAATTTCAAGCATCTACAATCAGTAGTTGCTGAGAAAACTGTGACCAAAATTTGTTATGTATGGTAAAGACAGACGCACGGATAAACAGGAAGTTGAGTTTGGATTCGTACAAAAATTAATCCCACCATATGGCATGCCTCAACAAAGTGTGTGCTAAAATTTCAAGCATCTGCGATGAGCAGTTGCTGAGAAAACTGTGACAAAAAATTTGTTACGGACAGACAGACAGATAGCTAGACAGACAGACACACAAGGGTAAAACAGTATACCCCCTCCCCTTCGGAGCGGGGGTATAATAAAAAAAAATCAACTACTCCTCAAAAAAAAAAAAGCTGAATGATGCACAAAACAATGTCCCAACCATTCAAATGGCAAGGATATACTAAAAGCTTTACATATGTTACCAGATCTGGTCTAGGAAACACTGGGTTTTCCCATTCCTTGAACAGGTCTGCAACACTTCTCCCTACAAGATCAAATGCATTGAAATTACAAACATTGAATATACATGTATTAGATAAATGTTGAGAGCGTAAGAGATAACAACAGTCTCTGAGTGTCAAGAAGGACAACTGAAGTGCTGATCACCTTTGAAGCTTTCCATTAGTCCTTTATCTTTCCACTTGATTGACAACATCTCATCATCAGCATCAAAGTGTTCCTCAATCATGGTCCTGATCGATGAAGCTGTGGAGGGACTGCTGGCAGTCACCTTTTTCACTGGTCTTCTGCACTGTGATGCCTGCTCTGTCTCTTCACTCCTGTCATCTGCAAAATAATATAACTGTGGGTTCTTTACCTAGTTTCAACGAGTTTTAAAAAATGTAAAACTGTTGACTGAAAATGAAGAAATGTTATTTACTTTGACAGTATAACATACCTTGCTTGTCTTCATCTGGAATCAGATTTTCATCTGTAACTGTGTTACCTGTATTTTGGTTTACAAAAATATCCTTACCTTAAAAAAAAAGAAATATATGCACCTCAAACAATTAAACAACAAAAAATTATGCAGCAATGCAATAATACAAGAAAATTGATAATGCAGGTGATTATAAGTCTTTTAATACCTGTCTTCTGATCTGTTATTTTGATCCAAGTCTTTTGCAATTCAGCTCCTGTAAGTTTCTCATTGCCCAGATCTATGTTCAAGAGATCACCATCTGCTACTTCTGACCAAGGACTTGTGTCAACACATTCAGAAGGACACAGAGAACCATGTGCTGCTGATGATAAATTCTCACCAGACTTATCATTTGATTTCTCTTCATCTTTGGATTCCAAATTCTTTTCATTATTGTTTACAGTAACACTGTACTCACTCTGTCGAGTCACATTATCTTTCTCTTGCAGATCTGTGTCACAGTTTTCATTCACATTTTGCTGCTGGAGTAAAGAAGAATTCTCGACACACTGTGTTTGTGACAAAGAGGCATTTGGTACACTCACAAAATCATCACTTTGTGCTCTAGAATTTTCCTCACATGAAGAACAGTTTGATCCTAGTGAAAACCACTTGGAAAACTCTTCACTTTCAAAGCTGCATTGAGATTCATCACAGTTTTCTGTTTTTTCAGTCTCTTCTCCCAAGACCCTGGACAGAGTAAAACTCTCCTGGCTTTCAGAATGGATGTGTTTCTGTTCAATTCCTTCATCCTCTGTCTTTGGATAATCCCTAGATGAAGTGGATTCAGTTGAAATAAGTTCTTCATCTGGATTTAGATTAGGAGAAAATCCTTCTGATCCTGTGGGGGAACAGCAAGTTCTTTGTTCAAATTTTGGAATGGTAAGTTCAGAGTTAGGAGTGTTTGGAGTATTTTCTCCACTTCTGTTGCCACTAACTGAAGAGAAACTAAATCCTATGGAATCCACTAATGAGAGATTTAATTTTCTCCTACTAGGTTCCTGAATTTCTTTTGAAAAATCTGAATCAAATGTCAAGTTTGTAGGAATAAATTCTTGAGAATCATCAAAATGCCAGAAATGTTCCATTTCTGGTTCATGCTGTGTAAGCTCTCTGTTATCCTTCACCCTCCTTGTTGAAGTCTCTAGGTCTGCAAGCGTTTCATCACAAAATAGATTGCACTCTAAATCCAACATGTTTTTAACTGGAGCATTTTCAGTTTTATGTGTAACATCAAATAAACAGTGTGAATCTTTTGATGCTTTCTCTGAACTATTTTGAATACGTTCCTGATAATCATTAATATCCATAATAAATGGATCCTTCAAGTGAATATTAGAATTAGATTGCAACTGTGAGAATGACTCTTCTTTTTTCTCATCAGACACACCTTGGTTGTGTGATGATTTCAATAAATTGTTTCTTGGAGGCCAAATTTCAAAGTCTTCAAACTCATTTCTAGGTTTACAATTTTTGGATGCATGTTCAAAATCTCTTTCTTTTTCTGTTTGTGTTTCACAGGAATCTGGAATTATCTGCGACAAGCAAGAAGTAGAAACTAGTTTCCCTTCCTCGCCACTTTTGCTGTGTTCTTTCTCAGCAGATGGTCCACCATCATTTTTTAACTGAAATCCCTTTTGCAAAGAAACAGGTATAGTCAAGTCCTCCAGATCAGAGTACATGGAGAAACACTTATCCTTTGGCTGACTAGAATCAAGTCTATCTAAAGAAATGCCATTGTTTGCACACTTTACTGAATCGAACACTACACTATTTTGAATCATTCTGGACATTTTCGATGCTGTTGTTTTTGCCATGTCAGTATTTAATCTTTTCCTTGTATGTACATCTAAGCCTCCAGATGTCCTTGTGTGTACATCTAAGCCTCCAGTTGTCTCATTACCACTGAATATGAGATCAGACTGTGATATTGGAATCAACATATGAACATCTTCTACCATTCTTTGACTGGGATTAATAGCACTGCCGTCACCACAGAGATCAACATTATTTGAGCACAATGACTTGCCTGTAGTGCTGTAAAGCATATTTCCATTTGCATGTGTCTCACATTTTTCCATATCACTGTCATAACAGTGACATGCAGTGCTGATGGCACTTTTCTGATTTTCCCAGCTACTTTCCTGTTTTTCAACAGATGATCCAAGACAGTGCCTTTGTCTTGCATTTTCCTGGTATTGAGCTTTTTTGTTATCATTCTTTGAGATGTTGATATGGACTGTCTCTGTGTGCTTGTCTCCAGTATGTTGATGATTAATACAACTGGTATCTTTTGTAGGATCTGACACAGAAGTGTCATGCACTGTTGATGACTGGTTCTGAGGTAAATATTTTCTAAAGGATGAAAGAGAAGTCCTGGTCCTTGATGAACAGTTTTTTTCAGGAACATGATCAGAGATGCCTGTTACGCTAGAATGTCTCACATTTTTTTCATGAGGTTTTCTTGCAGAGCTTTTTTCCTTGCTCTTTCTTTGTCTTAGTTTTTCTGTCAAGGACATTTTTTCTATTCTTCCACTTCCACCATTCCTTGAACTGAGAAGACTTTTCCTGAATGCTGACAGTGTGGAGTTTCCACCTGGACTGATATGTGGAGTTGATATACAAATATAATTTTTCCTTGTGTTAGTATCAGGGACTTCACCTTCAGCAACGGAATCAGTCATCTTAAATTGAAAAGGATCTTCCTCATCAAAATCTTGTGAGTTATCTTCTAAATCATCTTCTAATTGACTCTCTGGCACTTTTCTTGGATGAATTCTAGGAGGATCCTTTCTCTCTGCATTGATATTTGAAGGTGTTTTAAAATTCACAACTACACCATTTTGTCCATTCTTATCACATTGTGCTTCAGCTTTTTCATACTTATCACCATTTTCAATTTCAGAGGTCACTAAGCATTTCCCTTCCTCAACATCTACAATGGAATTTTCAACACCAGAACATCCTTGAGTATTAGTTTGCAAAGAGACAGCCTGAGATGCTTCAACATCCTCCTCAACGGAATCACCTTTATGGTTTGTAAAAGAAATGGAAGCATCATCATTATCTTCATGAGTATCCATAGAGGAAGAGTTACTATTAATCCCAATGTTCTCTTCATGATAAAAATCTTTTTTTCTTCTTACCAGCTTGGATGACATTCCAGCATGAATTTTATTTGTGTGAATATCTCTATCTATATCACTAGTATCGACCAAAGATATGTCTGGTGATTCTTCAAACACTTCTTTCTCACTTGAGTTATCCTTTGGACTTACAGGGTCCTTGGCTAGATTTAAGTTTTCTTTCACAAGAAATGACTGGACAAGTTTCTCTATACTTTCTCTTAAGGATTCCCAATGCTTGAACTGAACAAGGGTCTTGGCTGGTTCAAATGTAATGTCATATTCCGTGAGACCGCATTCAATGAGGATAACAAATATTGGATATCTGTCAACATGTTTTGTAGGGCTATCTTCAAGTAAGGCTTTGGCATAGGGAGTCTTGGTTTTCACAATGAGAGACTTGCCCATTAAATTACTGACCAACTTGCTGACATCTGTCTTTAAGACCACTCGTTTGTTCACATAGACAAACTGATGGTCTTTCCTTGAACTACCTTCTTTGCCAAAATAAGCATGAATCTTAAAATACTCATTCTCAGCTTTCAATTCACAAAGACACCTTGATTTTGCAGCCCCAAACAAACGGGTGAATGTGTTCAGCAAGGAATTAGTCTTGCGAGTCTGTAGAATAACTTGTCCTGTACAGTCATTTCTCAAGCTGAGAGAGATACTGGACTGAACTAGAGCAATGGCCTCCAACTTTTGCCTGATCTTTTCCAATTCCAGATTCTGGTTTATATGTTTCTGTCTGACAGGAAGGTTGTAAAACAAGTCATGAGCTGTTATAGTTGTTCCCACACTAGGGCGAGGCACTGTGGATTCTATTACAGGCAATGGGCTTCCATTTTGGAATAACTTGCAGTAGGATACTTGGGAAACTTTGGTTCTTGAGACAATCTCTAACACAGCTGATATTTCTCTCAGACTTGCCACTGCCTCTCCACGGTATCCAAAGTAACACAAGTTGTCCAGGTCACTGACTGTATGGCACTTACTTGTGTAATACCTGCCAAATATTTTTAAAAAAATTGTTGAAAATTGGGTGTTCTACTTTCACAAATTTCCCTCATTCACTTTAATGCTTTTGATCAGTCAATAGTGTAGCTAAAATAATTTACCAAAAAAAAAAATAATAATAATAATTAATGGTGCAATGGTATTATGGGCAGGAGGGCCTATTGGCCCCAACAACTTAACTCTGCTGTTCTTCAGACGAACATTTTTAAAGATTTTTTCCCCTTATATATTCCTGGGTTCATATGTAAAACTCTGGCCCCTATGAGCCATGATTTAAACAAACTTAAAAGTACATTACATGGGGAAACTGGCCTATCAATAACTTTTCATGGCTCTGCTATTCGATCTGCAAAGATATTTACCCAGTAATTATTATGATATCAAACTATATTTTTATGCACAATTTGAATCAGCACCACTTTTTTTGTAGTGTAGCATCATAAATAATTTTAGACCATTTGAGTTAATGAAATATAAACAATTTTTGAAGCAGATGTCTTTCTATGCATGTACAACAAAATGAGGATATAGACATTTACAATTAAAAGTATTTTTAACATTTAAAAGTATTTTTGATAATGAAACAGTAATACATGTATGTGACACTTTATCCATGCATTTCTGCAATGAGATTGCATGTACCGTATATACTCGCCTATAAGTCGGTCCGCCTATAAGTCGGTTGCATTTTTTAAGCTTATATTAGAGGGATTGACCCTCTAAAATACCAATCATTTTATGACTCGCCTATAAGTCGGACACAGAGTTTTGGACCAAAGTTCAACTCCCAGAAAACCGACTTATAGGCGAGTATATACGGTATGTAGTTACATTTAAGAATATTCATAAGAAAAGCTACAATCTGCAATTGATTTCTTTACCTACGTACTATAAGTGCAGAAGGCTTTTTCTCATAATTTTTGGTGCAGACTTCTATTTTATATAAATAACACAGGCAAATTCATGTTCATTTTTCTTCAACCTCCTCCCAAACCCCTAGCATAAAATTAAAAAGGTTTCTACAACTGACATAGCCTATAGCTCTAATGTTTAAATATATAAACTTCATCTATAAAATCTTCATCAAAACTAGAAATATGTCCATATATAGGATATGAATGCCACATCTGATTTGGTATATCTGTACAGTATTGCAACATGAAAAGACTTTTTCCTTATTTCATTAGTCTTGATTTAGAAGCCGGTAGTAAAATACAATGAAGCAAGAAAAATGTTCATATTTTTTCATATCCAGAACTGAATGACATTTTTGCAGTTGTTGCTTTTTGTAGCATGGTATATATATAATTCTTTATACACACAGATGATGTCTTATTTCTTTAAATTCATTCTCATTGTAAGCAGTGAATTTACATAAGATCTTTGAAGTACATACCATACATGTATCATGCTACATGTATTATCTTCACAGAAAAGTTTTTAAAGTTAATAATTCTTTGCATAAACAGATACAATTTAATATGAAATTGCTTAAAATAAACCAGAAGTCTCTGATGAGACTGTAGCTCTACTGGTCTGTTTGTATAACAAAAGAAAAGTAGCACTTGGATTTGAAACATTGCAACATGCAACAATAAATAGAATTATGTATCTTAATGTAGTCTACTTCTGTGCCAAGTTATATTGAAATCAAATGAAAACTGTAGGAGGAGTAGCGTTTTGAAAGTATTTCAGGGAAATTTCTATTTTTAGTAACCATGACAACACCATTCACCCAAATAAAAAAAAACAGAAATACATATTATGTATCGTAGTATATTCTAACTGTGTGCCAAATTAGATTGAAATCAGACCAAAATTGTAGGAGGAGTAACGTTTAATGGGAATTTCACAAAAATTTCTATTTTAAGTAACCATGGCAACACTGTTCATTGAATTCAAAAACCAATGCAATAAATTATGTATCTTAGTATAGTCTTCTTGTATGCCTAATTATATTAAAAGCAGACTAAAACTGTAGCAGGAGTAGTGTTTTAAAGGAATTTCATAGAAATTTCTATTTTTAGTAACCATGGCAACACCGTCCATTGAATTCAAAAACCGATGCACTAAATTATGTATCTTAGTGTAGTCTACTTGTGTGCCAAGTTATATTGAAATCGGACCAAAACTGTAGGAGGAGTAGCATTTTAAAGGAATTTCACAGAAATTTATATTTTTAGTAACCATGGCAACACCGTCCATCGAAATCAAAAACCGATGCACTAAATTATGTATCTTAGTGTTGTCTACTTGTGTGCCAAGTTATATTGAAATCGGACCAAAACTGTAGGAGGAGTAGCATTTTAAAGGAATTTCAAAGAAATTTCTATTTCTAGTAACCATGGCAACACCGTCCATCGAAATCAAAAACCGATGCACTAAATTATGTATCTTAGTGTAGTCTACTTGTGTGCCAAGTTATATTGAAATCGGACCAAAACTGTAGGAGGAGTAGCGTTTTAAAGGAATTTCAAAGAAATTTCTATTTCTAGTAACCATGGCAACACTGTCCTTCGAAATCAAAAACCGATGCACTAAATTATGTATCTTAGTGTTGTCTACTTGTGTGCCAAGTTATATTGAAATCGGACCAAAACTGTAGGAGGAGTAGCATTTTAAAGGAATTTCACAGAAATTTCTATTTTTAGTAACCATGGCAACACCGTCCATCAAAATCAAAAACCAATGCACTAATTTATGTATCTTAGTGTAGTCTACTTGTGTGCCAAGTTATATTGAAATCTGACCAAAACTGAAGGAGGAGTAGCGTTTTAAAGGAATTTCACAGAAATTTCTATTTTTAGTAACCATGGCAACACCGTCCATCGAAATCAAAAATCGATGCACTAAATTATGTATCTTAGTGTAGTCTACTTGTGTGCCAAGTTATATTGAAATTGGACCAAAACTGTAGGAGGAGGAGCGTTTTGAAAAATTGTTTACAGACAGACGGACAGACAGACAGACAGACAGACAGACAGACGGACGGACGACGGACACCTTACTATCGCATAAGCTCTTCTGGTCTCTGACCAGTAGAGCTAAAAAAAACACATTAACGTATCATTACGTCAAATGCATGGAAATCAAGGTCAGAAAATGTTGACACAATTAAACTGTTCTCACCAATATGCATCAGTGCTGGAACAGTATCTTTAAAACTGAATATAACACAAATTGGGGAAAAGTGAGGTCAAAATCAAATGTAAGGTCAAGGTCAGAAAATTTACAACAGTTGAATTGCTTCACTAATATGTATTAGTGTATTAAGTTTGATGTAAATCTTTAACTGAGCTAAGTTAACACAAAATGAAGTTAAGGGAGATGAAGATTAAACAGGAGGTCTAGGTTGGAAATCTTATTAAAGTTCAGTTGCACTGGATCTCCAATATGTGTATCAGTTTATGAAGTAAGATGAAAATATCTTGAACATAGTTTATTTGAACACATGGCTCATCTCATTAAACAATAAATAAAAATGTAATTTGGTGTAGTTATGAAGAAATCCACTTTTTTTCACTTTTGCTGTATTTTCCCCCAATATTCAAGTACCATCTGTACCTATTAGACTGCCATTGCTGAAATTCCCAACACATTTTGCACCTGTGTCTACCACTGATTAAATCATCAGCTGGATATTACCTGACTTTTAAGTTTTGATGTTCTTACAAATATTCTCTAATTGATCATCATGTTGTTTCCATTTCTGGCACTTTCTGCATGGTATTACGGTAAATGAAAACAACTCAATCCATGCAGATTTCAATGAAACATGAGTAGTCTCTTAATACTTTAATTAAGAACCATTACTTAAAATAAAATAACTGAGGAGCTATGTTACTGCTGACCTCTCTGCCACTGTTTCTAAGTCATTCTTCTGTATTCCATGTCCATTGTCAAACACCTGAACCTTGAATCGTGACATGTCCACCCTCACAGCAATGCATGTTGCACCTACAAAATAAAACGTGTGTGTACAACGGAGGAGTAAATAACACAATTAGAGTACAGAATGCACTCTTGGAGGTTGAACTTTTCAATGTTTTGATAATTTATGTATTACATGTGTTTACTTCATAAAAACATGTACATAGATATTTTGAGATTTCAACAACAAAAAAATATATTAATGCATTTTTAGAGTCTGGATTGTTATGGAATAAGTCTTAACCTTCAACCCCTCTAATCAGTAATGAACTTGTCTTTACAGTACCAAATGTGCTATGATTAGGTCAAAATACGAGGGGTGATCAAAAAGCTCGTCGCGAACTAATTGAATTACTTCCATAAAAGAAATGAAATTAGGTTTCAGTGTTCATTATCATTTGACGTAGTCCTCTCCGATTTAAATGCACATCTGCAACCGTTCTGTGCATGTCCGAATCGCGTGATATAGGCGGTCACGTGACATGCTCCGTAGCGTTCTGTTCACAGAAGCTAAAAGATTTTTCCGAGTCTTATTTTACTTACCATGCAAGTTATTTTTTATAACAAGAACAGTGAATTTGTCAGAAATGGCAAAATCTCTGCAATAGGATGGGTGAATAAGGATATCCTTTCCCACAATGAGCATGACCACCATCACAACCCGAGTCTTCTGTCTTGGAAGCGTCGTTCATACATTGTGGATACAGTATGGGCGCCTTCTTTTTATCATATCTGATATGTTTAAAGTCTTAAGTAAACAGTATTTTAGGGATTTAATAATTATATTACAGTGTATAGTTAAGATATTCAACTATTTTTTCTGACTGTAACTTGGCAATCTTTTATAACAAATTGCTCAACTAAGGACACATCTCTTCCCCAGCTTGCTTTCATTGAGCAACAGAACAAACATCATTTTTAACCATCTCCCTTCCTTCACTAAAACAATCGATCCAATTAATGATTGAACTTCTAGCAAGTCTTTTGTCTTCACAAACTTTGTACAAATCATTATATGCTACTGCAAAGGAATTTCCAAGACACACGTAAAACTTTACAGCCTTGCGTTGCGCGAGTACTACTGAGTCAATCATTTTTAGTAACAAGTCAACTACAGATTGATATCATTTTCACATTGTGACGTCACAAACATGGAGCAAAACACTACATAACATTTGCTATTTATAGAACATCTGTATGACTTCATCTGTGCCAAATTTCATTTTGATCTGAATTGTGGTTTTGAAAATATAGAGATAGTTTGCGAACTTTTTGATCACCCCTCGTACTGTTCACGGTTTCATAACACTCATTTCCATGCAAGCTAAAAAAACCTTTTTAATACTTAAAATCTTAACCTGTACATTGTTCAATAATCCATTTTACCTATTTCCTACAAAATGTGGAATGAAAACATATCATGAGGTTTGTAGTTTTTTTTCAGCAGATGCATACATGTATACATGTATATGAGCATAAGATTGCAAGGTACGGTACACTTAAATTCAATGGCTCATATGGAAGTGGAGCTACAAAATCATTGCATGTTTTTTTTGTGTTGGCCAAGAGAGATTGAACATAAGTTCAAAAGTTCAACTCCCAAAAACTGACAAGTACATGCATTTTGATTCTTAAATATCTTTGTTCAGATTTCAAATATTTATATCATGCTTATGTCACAGACTCACAGTCATAAAATTGGTAAATTTTTTGTTGAAATAAAGTCATAAACACCTTATGGGTTTGATATAATATTATATTCAATATATGAAAAAATGGTCATTGAAAAGACAATTCTTTATCATCATTGTAAAATGAGACTGACAATTTGGAGATAAATTCTAATTTCTTTCTTTCTCCTTGCTGTCAAAGGATGGAGTTGGTTAGTTGAGATATTTGGCACCAAGCATGTGCACATTATGTAAAACTGATAGATCACCATCAATCATACAACTCTAAGCTACATCCTAGCTGACCTTTCTCACTCCAAATCCAACCCATGAGCATTTAACTTCAAATGAATGAACTATTTCAGTTTTCAAGACACCAGATTTGATTAAATAAAAAGCATCATATTTAATTTAAACATTAAGTTTTATTAACCTGCATCTATTGAGTTTAGGACAAGCTCCTCCATACACTGTACCATGCTAGTTAACGCCACACCTGTCCTAAGGAGGGACTGCAGGTCGGGTGACAGAGGTTGTAGTGCTCTTTTAACATCCATTGTGTACACAACACCAATTACCACGCTTACTTAAGTAACCTCACCTTGCATCATTTTTCTAATCTTAAAAAGCAGAAGAAAGAGCTCAACATAATGCTATACTTAACGCATATTTACAGTTATAAAACATCATATAACAAGGTAAAGATCAAATGCAAATGTCAATACTGGTCAATACACTGATACATGTGCCCAGTTCACATTTTGTATTGTTTAAAGAATTTGTGAAAATGATCACTGTTCTTTATAGCGAGTGCAGTGAGGCGGCGCAGAGCGCCGCTCGCGGCCGCCGCTCGCATAGCGAGCTCCATAGACAACGTGTACGAACGGAGGAAATTGGGGTTGAAATCTGCACATTGTTCAAAGAAATTTTTATTGTCCCACGTGAAAATATTCAATACTCCCAATAATCCTTTGCAGTGCATAGCAACATGGTGCTTTATCATAGCAACAACTTACTTGATAATAATAATAAACAACGATTTGTTTCAATTTCCATGCCATAATTGCCCACAAAACTATTGTTTGCGTCCTTGGACACCACTTTGTATGTGACGTCATATTTTCGTCACTTCAACGATTTGGGTATATCCGATTTTGTCGGAAATATCCAAGAAATTAGGAATTTCGATCCCGATGCATGGGGAGTCTGCAACGTTAGAGAATATATACTTCAATAATGGTTTTTAAAAAAAAAAAAATTATGTACGATACACAGTAAACGCGTGATAAAAGTGTTATAAGCAGAATGTAAAACGACATCTGAGAAGATGTGTAGAGTTTAGAAAACACAGGGGCTTGCTCCCGGCGTGTAATAATTATTTATTTTTAAAAAATCATGTTTTAGTATTACCGTATATGATTTTTTTTAAATAAATAATTATTACACGCCGGGAGCAAGCCCCTGTGGAAAATGAACTGCGCTCGCCCTAACGGTTTCATCGTCGGACATGTTACAATCTATTTATAATTTCAGCACATTTAACTGTTTGTTACATAATCTGTCAATATGCATTACCCGATGATTTATCAGTTTATAACTAGTTTGCTGACAGTCAGACAAGTACGATTGAATGAAAGTAAACTTTTAAAAAACAAACCATTGTTACTTTATAGAGTAACATCTTGGCATTTATAAAACATAATTCATTTCCACTATACGGAAATAGCCCACACAGCATTAGTCATTGCATGCAAAACTTTCTACTTTCGAATTCAAGAAGTAGCGCGAGATATTCGCGAGATTTACCTTGTTACTAAGCCAGATAAAACATTTACTTTTAATTCAATATTCAGATTATTTTATCGTATAAAAATTAATTTTTTATTACATAGTTATTAACATTTTACTGTTTTAAAATGGTATTATCTTTTATTATCCCACTTTACTCCTTTTAGAACTTTGCCCTATTTTGTTTACGTATCAGTTGTCAAGCTAATGTAAACAATATGGCGGCGACCATGCCAGTTTTTATTGGGTTGTGACAACAGGTATACAATAGAGGGAACAAAGCAGTTATCAGCCTAAAACGGTAAGGGAAAAATATTGGCACAGTTGTATTCAATAACGTGAGGTAACTTCATAAGAATATTTAAAAGAAAATTAACAAATACCAGAAGGTAATTATCTTAATTAATAATATGATTTAGGCCTAGCTATGTACGAATAATTTGAAAAATAAGACAATAACTTATTTCATATGTATTTAGCCTATCGACCTCCCGAAAAAAATATCCTCTAACTTTTAAAGTTTATTTCTTTAGAAAAATAATGTTTTATTCATGAACTTTATGTCTCTGGAGCAGGCTGGAAACCATGCATATTTGTACATGTACTGGGATCTAAAACTGATATTAGTTATAAATTAATATTAAGCGTAAATGGTGTAGAAAAAGATAACTATCATCATGCTATTTCTTGAGTTTGACCTTTTATTTATATCAAAAACAATATTTGTAAAAAAGATTTCTGATTTTTTTCCTTTGTACCTCTAATCAAGAATGTTATAGGTGTTAACCATTTTTTTTGGGGGGGGGGGGATATTAATTTACTAAAATTGACCCTCCTTGTATCTACAATTGATTGAAAGAAAATGCATAAAAATTTTAGCCATTGACATTGGAATATCACAGAGTGTTTACGATTGTTTTAATTATTGTTATTCAATTTATTTTGGTTTAGAGATCAAGATAAATCAAGTTTCAAGACGAATCGGTAGCTTTCTAATAATCAACCATATTAATATCGAATATATGTTAATTGTATTAGATAATTTCAAAGACGCATTGGTACAGACTGAGAACCTATTTGTTTATATATTTTTTTTTTGGAATTTAATATCTGTTTATAATCATATAAGCAAATTTAATTTTTGTTTCTTTTTTTTTTTAAATGTTCTAATTTCTTTTTTTAATTCAACTTAACATGTATTATTTACATGATCATTAAATAAGTTCAGGGATTTAAATATTAGTTATGAATCCAATTTAAAACTCAATACATAATAATGGTTTCATATTTCAGTGGCATAAAAGTACATTAGTTAAACTATGCTAGGTTCTTATATTTAATGATTTTGTCATGATATTGATGATGATCTTTGAAATGCATTGTATTTGCAGACAACATATTATAAGGACATTTTTTTCTATTTCTATGATCATTTACTACTGGTAGGGGTTCCCTGGTAGGATATTTCTATTGCGTGAAATACCTAATATATGAGGATTAGTTAATTAATGTATGAGAATTAATTAACAGTCACAAAGTAGATGTTTGTATAAGCTTAATAATTTCAAGCTAATTATGTTTACAATTTATAAACACGTTAAAACCTGATTTTTTTGTTTTACCAGTAATTACCTGTTAAAGAAAGAGAAACAAAAGAACAATTTTAAAAAGACAGCAGTGTTTTTAAGCTGAATCAATTTAGAATGGATAGTAACACTTTATGTGTAATAATTAATTGAAATGCATAAATAATTGCAATTTAATTCATGAATAATCTTGAAATTTAATTCATGAAAAATGAAAATGGATCTCTTCAACATGTAACCTTTTATATTCAAAATTTCATCATTTTACTTTGACTGCTTGTTGCAACAAAGCAGAGATTAATAAGACACAGACACTGTACATACATGAGAAGGTGATCTTTCAGTCAATCAAATCAGCTCCCTTGTGGATTTATGCTATATCAATTATTGATACCTTGCTTGGGAAGGTAATGGATTTGAGAGAGATTGATCCTCTTTGTTGCTTACCTTTATCTATAAACACATACATTTGTATATGTACCACTCAGTGGATTGTTACAGTGAGTGAGTGTATTGATGACAGGGAGAATTTAATATTTCTTCAATATTAGAAAACGTATGCAACAAGGGAAGTAATTTCTTAGCTCATGACCATGAAATTAAATTAGAATTTGATACATAAAATAAATTATGTGAATAAATTCTGTTTAGGTTAGTTTATTGAATTATATTACGCTTTAATTATTTTCATGCAGGTACACTTTTGCAAGCCCAAATGAGCACACTGGATTATGCTCCTGCAGCTACAGGGATGTCAAAGATACCCAGATTTCAGCCTCAATCTCACCCCTTACCACCTCTAGAGACCAACAATGACAGAACAGGACAGAAGCCCTCCAGACTTCAGCAGCTTCAATCCAACTATCAACAGAAAATACTCAGGGAAAAGGAAGAGAAACTCATTAATATGTATGAAGAAAACCAGAAGAGAGCTCTTCAAAAAATGCAAACCAAGGGCTCCATGAGAGATTTCTTCAAACAACGTAGAGAGATGGAACAAAATGGAAATATTCAGCAAGCACCAACTATGACTAACCATTACAAGAAGATGAGACAGGTTGGTTCTTCACCAACTGGAGGCACCTGGTCCCCAAACAGCAGACAACATTCTGGAAGCTCCATCAATTCCATGGGACGTGACAGGAGTAAACCTTTGGCTCCTATTGACCGTAATGCTCCAGTACCCCAGAAACCTCAAAGACATGGTCGCCCAAAAACCAAAGATTCCATTGTTGAAGAAAAAAAGCAACATTTTAATGGGAATATCAAGGGTGCTCATGCAAGTTCCAATGGTGTCAGCTACAGATCTGAGAGATCTCCAGTGGGTGAAACCCCTCCTCCAAACATGTCAAACCTGAAAAGTATTAGAAATCAGAAAATTAACAGATCTGGAAAACCTCCTTCTGGAAAACCACAACAAGCCAAGATGTCAGACTTCCAGAAATTCCAGATGGATCAGGATCAGGCACGAGAAAATAGGTTAAAGGCTCACAGGGAGGCACAAAGACAGGAAAATTCAGGCTATGAGTACGAAACCAGCGAGGATGAGGCAGATGAAAATGAAGAAAATAATTACAATCCTCAAGAGGATATTGCTAGGAAACAGCGAGAACTCATGGAAAGAATTGCTAATCAGCAGGCTGAACTGGAGAGGATCAGACTTGAGAGAGAACGGGAAGAAATTGAGGTAGATACTAGACAATTGATACAAAAAATACTTTTGTTTATTTTGATTATTATGAGTATTTAATTACATGATGATTAAAAGTAAAAATTAAAATTATTAAAATCGATTATTAAATTTAAGATTAGAATTTAAAGTACTCTACCATGATTATAAAAAAGTGGCTTGCATCTTTCAGTGTTGAATCTTATGAATATAATCATACAGATAGGAAAACATTCATTCCATCTGTTGTAAAAAAGTGACTTGCATCTCTTTCAGTGATTATAATTTTATAATAAACAAACTGAGGAGAAAATCCATTCCATCATCAACTTCCCATATTTATGTAGCATTAATTCTATCACCTGCATATGGGGTCTATGTCTCCCCATTAATTTGGTACATAATTTTTTTTTATAAATCAAGGCAGGCTACTGACATACAAGTAGATGAAAGAGGGCTTTTAAATTAACATTTCAAATTTTGACTTCAGATTACCCTGTTGACCTGATCAATATATACAGAGGGCCAGCGTGTGACAGGTCAACAGGGGATTCTTACAATACTCCTCCTAGGCACCTGGCCTCATGATCATGAAGCAGTTTTAATAAAGTCAGAATTTGTACATTTATCAAAAAGTTTTGTTTTAGAAAACACATAAAATTTGAAATGTTATTAAAAATTGTTCCCCATGGCCCTTTCATGTTGTTAATTTTAATTTCAAACGTAAGTTTAAAAAACATTTTGAATAATTGAAATTTTTACTTAATTCCAGGATACTTCTTGGGGCCTGATCCCACCTCTGGTATTTCCAGAGGCCCATTTTTTGCCCTGTTCTTAATTTGTATTATTTTTATGATTTATGAGATTTATCACTGTTTGTTATCTTCATCTTCTTATCTTCTTAGTGATTATTATTCAAACAATGTGTACTTTTCATATCTATAGGAAAAGAAGGAAATGGAAAGGAGGAGAAAACGAGAGGAGGAAAGAAGAAAGAGAATGAAAGAGGAGGAAGAGAGGAGGAAAAAAGAGGAGGAGGAAAGAAGAATTCAAGAAGAAGAGAAAAGAATTCAAGAAGAAGAGAGAAGAGCTCAGGAGGAAGAGGAATTTCAGCGAAGAGTTGCTGAAACAAGAGCCAACAGAGGAAACTCATACAATACAAGGCAGCCTTATGAATATGAGGACCCACACTCATCTCACTATGATGACAGAACTTACAGGAGGGATTCTCCCGCTGAACAGTATCAGCCAACACCCCCACCTAAGCCAAAACCAGTTAGAGTACAGAAAAGGCAGCCTCCAAAACATGCTGCTCCTGTGGAAAGAACTCCCTCCCCACAGTTCACTACCAATGATATTTCAATGTATGAGAATGCTGCTATGGATAGTGAGGCTTATGCAGGGAGCAAAATCAAAATGGCACAGTGCTCCAACTGTGGCAGGAAGTTTGCAGCTGACAGACTGCAGCGTCATAGGAATGCTTGTGGTAACGCAACCAAGAAGCGAAAGGTGATGGACCCCACAAAGATGAGAGTGGCTGGGACAGAAATGGAGCAATATGCTGGTAAACACAGATCCAAGACTCCTCCGGTAATTCATACATTATTTATTATAAAAGATATGTTTTATGAGAATGACAACAAAAACTCAGTATTTTAACTCCAAATTTAAGAAAATAGATCTTCATTATTCTGGCTCTACTTTATGTAAAAATTGAATTTAAAATATCATTCACAAAACATTTTTTAACCCAACTTGTGTATTATTTGATCTTAATAAGGTTAGCTTGCTTTAAGAAACATGAATTGTCATCAAACTATTCATTTTTACAGAAGAAATCCAACTGGAGAGCAGAGAGAGAAAATTTTATTAAGGCTCTCCGTTATGCCAAGAAATGTGCTGAAGTTGAGAAAACTGGAGGTGATATACGAAACATAACTCCTCCACCTGCGGCTGAAAATCCTAGCTACAAACAATGCCCATATTGTTCACGGAAGTTTAATCCTGATGCTGCAGAAAGACACATTCCTAGATGTAAAGACCTTAACACCCGCCCTGCCCCAACCAGAAAGGGAAGGCGGTAAACTTATTACTTCAATTTGTATTATCTGTCTATTTTCTGTAGAAGCGAGACAATATGGATGACATAATGTTGTCCAATTCTTGAAAAAAAGATGAAAAATGAGTTATAATTATTGTATTCAATTGTTGAATGACAGGTAATTATTGTTTTACATGAACATTTAAGTGCTATCCTTTTGAGAGTATATGTTCTGATTGAGTTGAACTGTTTAAGTATGAATATTCCTACAGATGCACTTTTTAAAAGAATAACACATTGGATTGTAATAAATGTGGAATGTAATGGAAGTTTGATTCACTGTATTATTTGTACTTGGTTAGAATTGTATTTAATTTTTATGTGTTTTTGATTAATCTTACTTACATTAGCCATATTTTTATGCCCCTGATTGCCAAGAAGTAGTCAGTAATTAGGCTGTAATATCAGTTAGCTCACAGAGTGTTCTAGATATATAGCATTTTTAATTAAATCATGTGCTTATAAAAAATTTTAAAATTACAATACTGAATGAAAATACGTAGATGCACCATTTGAGATTTTAAAAACTCACATTATATTGCATATGTTTGAACTTGTTCCCATGATATAAATATTTCTGTTCAAAGCCTAAATTATATAGTTCTTCATTGTAATAGATGTATGTGTCAGAAAACTTCCAAATAAACAGCCCATATTCAAGTATTTATATGTTTCTTAAAATGTTATGAATTATTCATGTTTGTCAATTTTAGTTAAATAAATTTTGTCACCTACACACAAACCACAGAGATTTCCAATGAATTGAAAAAAAATTGTAATTTGAGCTTTATGTAAAATTTCATTCGCATATATTGCATTTTCAATTTGACCCATGTTGTGTTCTATGAGAGATACAAGAATTTTGTTTTACACTAGTTAAGCATTTAATAAATTATTATCTGATTATTTTGGAATAAAATTCAACAAACTTACAAATTAAACTTACTGTTTATTATTTATTGAAAGATTTAGACTTTTCAGTAGAGATGTAATTCAATTCTCAAAACATACTGTGAAATCATTAATTTTCATGGGGGTTTAATTTTCATGGTTTTTGAGGTAGAAAGAGACGCACAAATTCATGTCCACCATGAAATGTAAAATTTCATATGTATAACTACTCAATAATTCTTCATCCACAAAATCAAATCCCCATGAACCAATATTTTTTCCTCAAACCACGAAAACTTGACCCCACAAAAATATGTGATTTTACATTATTCATGAATTTTTATACATGTATATTAACTGTGTATGTTGCTAGCAAAAGAAAAGCATGCAGTTCAGTCAAGCAAACATTTCATTGATGTTGAAAATTAGAATGCATGTAGATAATACAAGAGATTTATGATACTTATAATTTAGATGCAGATTATTTATTTCGAAAATTTACTCACAAAGAGACACTGGTAATTGTTTCCTTTAACATTTTTTAGATTCCAAGTAAAGATAATATCACAAATAATACTGGTAATTAATACATGGATAGAAGCAGACTAAATAACTATTGGCATTTTTCTGCAGCTAAAAAGTATTTAGAAAGAAGCCAGAACTTCAGAGTAGAAAAGGGGAGGGGTTGTTTTAAAACCTAACTCATATTGATTAAGTACTAGAATGAAATATGTGGAGATAACGAGCAGGATTCAAGCTCAAAAGTCCATTAAACATTACAAAATAGGAGCAAAGCAAACACGGACCTCTAAGACCTCAGAGGTGGGAACAGATGCCATGGAGGAGTGAGCATCCCCTGCTGACCGGTCACACCCGCTGTGTGCTCCTTGTCATGATCAGGAAATAACAGAAAAATCCGTTGACAATTCAGTGTGTGAATAATGGCCTAACAATTAGTACGAAAAAAGTCAGTCAGCATTTGACTCAATGAAAGATTGTATTTGTTGACAAGGTCATTGTATCGACCATAGAACTTACAAAATGATGACTTTAAATGAGACTGCTGATATTCTAGTTTCATCAACTTGTTTGTCAGTAACTTACCTCGTTTTAGAAATTGTTCATACATGGAGCATGCTCTTGCGTATTGAATCAACTGAAAGCTATAAACCCTGTTTGCAGGTAATAAGGGTATATTGCTGCATAAGTTAGGGAAGTTGACGATTGAAAAGTTAGTCATCACGTTTATCATGAAGCTTTGTTGTTAGGTTCCCATTAAAGTCTTTTTCTAGTAAAATATCCAAGTATGGTATCTTTAATTTCAAGCTCACTTGGATATATCGTGTTGACATATGAATGGAAATAACTATATATTGTTAATTGATAATATGTCATTGATATTCTAAATGTCGAGTTGAAGGCCACAGCAAGTGTTTTCTTCTTCTCATGTATAAGATTTTGAATAAATTCTGCTTCATATGAATACAAAAAAAAGTCTGCTAATAAGGGGGTGCAATTGGTACCCATGGGAATTCTGACAGATTGTTGGAAGACCTGGTCTCCAAAAACTACATAGATAATTAGTCAATCAGAAACTCAAGTATGTTTTTGATATCAACTTCAGAGTACTTGTGTTTACAATCAGAATGTTTTTTAACAAAATAATTTTGTAAATGACCAATGACAAGCTTAATAATTTTGCAAGTTCCATTTTTATTGAAAAAAGCAGACGGGTGTCAATGATGTCAAAAAGCCTGGACTTTAATTTATCGCTGGGAATGGTTGTATATAGAATGAAAAGTTGTACATTTTTATGTTATTTTGGTAAAAATTTGTGATTTTAAAGTTCCTTGGAATTATGCACATCCTTCACTGCTGTTAATATTTTAGGAGAAGTAAAGAAAGAGGCTTAGAAGGACTTTTACTGAAACCCACTAATCGTTAAATATTGTTAGATAAAATGACATTAAAAAATGGTATAAAACTGGAAAATTTAAACTAAAAGTTAGAATTAAAATAAGAAATAAAATTAAAATTTTTGAAATGAATATGGGGGAAAAAATTAGAAAAAAAATTAGAAAAAAAAATTGGCACTGTTATCTCTCTATAATTTCTCATTATCAAAATTCGACAAACTTATAGACTTGATTTTTTTTTGTAGATTTGTGAACTGCACTGCCATGCATATTATAATAGATACTGGAAAACACGTAGAGAACTGATTGATAACTTGCAACACATTGAAGTTATATATTAAATATTAAACAGAAATGTTATCAAGCTCTTTTTTTTGAACACTTCTCACTCCCTCCAAACCTCTACCCCACCCCATTCCCTCTTTCTCCCACTCCCTCTTTCCTCCGTCCCCTACTCTCTCTCATCCCCTCTATTGCAATCCTCCAGTCTCCCCATCCCCCTTTCTCTCTCCAATGTCTTCCCCATCTCCCTCTCCCCACACTTTTTCTCTCACTCTCCCCTCTCACTCACCTCCCCCTCCACATTTTCTCTCACTCCTCCCCCTCTCTCTCTCCCCTTTTATCTCACCTCCTCTCTCTCCCCCCACCCTCTCTCTCTCTCTTTATTTACTTCTTGTCCGTCTGACTCAGTTATATCTTGCGAGATAATTAAACTATATATAAGCATAATACATAGATACTTTATAGTTTATTTACAATAAAAATTAACGGGGAAAATACTTATTCTACAACAAATAGAAATTCTTATCGTTATTTTAAGGATACACCAAAGGTTTCCAAATGCCAGAATTTCATTTGCATGTAATTCTTTCATTATCAAAGATAACATAATAAAAGTACATATCATTTGAAAGCTTGTAAAATTTACAATTTAATTATCCTAATTTAAACTTTAATTAATAACTTATTTAAAACTTATTTAAATATTAATGTAAATTTTAGTGCATAAATATTTTATAAATCAACTTTTTTGTATTGAACTCCTCAAAGTGGTCATTTTGCCTCAAGGTAGATTAAAGTTTGAACTTAAAAACTGTATCTCAGATTTTTGATAAATCTTCTAATTCAAAAGTTACAGCCATTTGCCCTTCAATGTTACCAATTTATTAGCCTAATTTAACATTTCCCTCTGTAATTCCAAAACTAAGCTAGATATCAGAAATCTGAGATACGGTTTTGTGAACACACATTTGAGAAGCAACCCATCCAATTTTCAGAGAAATTGGTCAATAAATGAGGGAGCTGAATCCTTTGAAATAATACCACAAACTGTCTGATCTTACTTTACAGTAGAGGGCAAAAACCCATTACACAACAAAATCTGCCAAAGCTAGGAATATATGACACCTTGGAGATTCAGCTTTGGATACCTGTCACTTAGCCATATTTCCCATGCATATTCACAAGAATGGGAGGTTCTTTTCAGTATTTAGATGCTTTTAATTTAGTAAAATAGGTTCAATTCTGAATCAGAAAGATTTCCCGGCAAGATGGCAAGAGCTAAGCTCCACCTCCTATTTTATGGTCATCATTGATCTGTTAGATCTCCTTCTCTAAATCTAGAGTCCCTGTAGTTTAATTACTGATAATCTCTGTGTGGCTAGTGAAGAATTCCCCAAGTGGTCAAAGTGATTTATTGCGTCTTTCATGAGCAGGCAGTCACAGATCAAATCAGAAGCTTCAATAACAGAACATTCACATGTGGTAGTGTTTATGTTTCATTATTGTTAAATAATTAGAAAACCATTTCATAATTACCCAGAATTTTGCATGCATTATAAAGCAGTGATTAACTTCTTTTTCTTAGCCAAAAATCTCAAAACTGTTGAAAATCTTGAAAAAAGCCTTTGGTGTATCCTTAAAAGAAACTATAAAATGTTTATTCTTGATCTTTTTATTTTAAAATGGATATAGCAGAATTGTGTATTTATGCAAAAAATGAAAGTAATTTAAAATTATAAGGGCGATAACTTCACACAACAGAAAATACTTTTCCAGGTTCACACTTGGATCATTGCGTGGTTTGTATATGTTTACTAACATGCAAGGAAGATGATGTGTCAGCTTGAAATCCCAGTTGGATATTTTTTGTTGTACCGTTATGAAAATTATCTGAATTATCCACATGCTGAGAGGAGGCCTATAAAATATTCTTTATTTGACAGAGTATGCAATAAAGGTTTGACATTCACTATCCCTTTCCCTTGTATGCATTCATTTTACTTAATTTTATATTTTTATAATTTTTGTCCTGTTCAGATATTGTGTCGTTGCGTTGAATGATAGCAAATGCATTTGCATCATGACTCCCTCGTTGTTCTTCGCATTACCCGGTATGTCATATTTTCTTGTTCCATATGAATGTTCGTTTGGTGCTTTATTCAATGCGTACTGTCAATAAAACTACATGTAACCTTTACTTGTTGCATGGTTCTACTTTACTAACCATAGATTTACACATAACGCTTTTGGATGATTTACCTTTGGGCCATCAATGTAATTTGAGTAAATGTTCACCTTATAACAGGCCTTAGCCATGCTTCTGGGGGAAATTATAATCATTCCATTAAGCAGTAGAGCCATTCAATAAAAAGAGAGTCATGCAAAATGTGTGCTTAAAAAATTGTTACAAGGTTGCCTCTGTCGCGCATACCGCCCTCCTCAAGTCGGGTAACATTATAGGGATAAAATTTGTAAATCGTAATGAATTTAAAACAATCTGCATTACAATGCACATATGCATTATGTAAATAAAATCCTTATAAGAGGATTTTCGGTGAAAGGAAAAGAAAATTTCTTCACTTTTATCCTAAAAACCCTTTTATATTTTTAAACCTCGTTTCAGACAGCAAGAACGCTTAATTTGTTTATAGGAAAGGCGTACATGGCCAAAAGAGATTTTTTTTATAGGGTACTAGTAAATTTAAAGAATGGGTTACAACCCCTTAACCCCTTCAAAATTCGCCACTATAGATACATGTACTCTTATACGAATGTTGCATGGTACTTGATTCTAACACAGTGTTACAACACTTTTTTGTACAGTTCTATATTTTTTGCACACGCAACTTACATGTAAAATGTGCTAATATTGCCAATCATACTCAGGAAAAATTTGTGTAATATAGACCGAGAAGCTTTTTTCACAATGCAACATTCTGTTTTTTCTATTGGTAAAAATATTTATATGTAACTGTAGCGTTCACACTGGCTACATATATACGGATTCAACCAGATTAAACATATTTATTGAACCGGAACTAAGACAAAGACAAGGGTGATAACTTATTAATATAAAATTAGACATAGAGAAATACAGTTATCTTTCTTACATGAAACAACATCCCTTTCTTTCTCAAAGACTAATTTGAAGCCCTTCACCGGTATATGGTGACGTCTCTATATGAGTGAAAAATTCTCGAATGTGAAGTAAAACAACATACAATCAATCAATCAAACCTTGATCAAGTTGATGGAAGTTTCTTATTTCTTACAGGTCTGTAACTGATATTTAGATCACTATTTTGAATACTTGCATCATTATAAATACTAACAGGAGCAGAACTACACGTACTCTCTGGTTTACAATCAGCATTTGTATCAACTTTCATTTCGCAGTTAACATCAACAATTTCATCACCAACAATAGATTGTGGCTCATTACATTGTAACTCATTTGATGTACAAGTACTTTCCCTCTCATTAAATTTCATTAAATGAGTAACATTTTGTTTGTATTGTACTCCTTGACCTGATTCAACAATTGCACTGTTGCCATTCATTTGAACAACCTTAAAAGGTGAGGTGTTGAATGGAGTGGACAACTTATATTCACGGTCTTGTTTCACAAGAACTTGGTCACTGGCACGAATATCGGTTTCGATTGCCGTACGATGTTTATCTGAATAGATTTTACCCTTTTCCTTCCTTTCCGCATCACGGTCGCGTGCTACAAGATCATCAACATTATAGTCAAAAGCTCAGGCAACTTTGTGCGAAGTTTACGACCAAAAAGTAACTGAGACGGGCAAACACCAGTTGTCGAATGTAGTGTATTTCGGTACATGACAAGAAATTTGTTAAGTTCAGATTTCCAATCTCGGCCTTCAGCAAAAGCAATTCGAACACGTTTCATAATTGACCTATTTTGCACTTGCCGTTTGCCTGCGGCCATAGAGGAGTTGTTCTGTTATGAACTATGCCATTATCTAACATGAAATCCTTTAAATGTTCACTTACAAACTGAGGATCATTGTCAGTGTGGATTGAAAATGGCAATCCATGGGTTAAACAAAACTTAGAGATTAAACCTGAATGTGTTCTCTGACGAAATATTTCTCGTGACCGCGACCTCAAAATATCTACTGTAATAGTCTACAAGCACAAGTATATACTCTTTACTTGGCAACGGACCTAAAAGATCTGCGGCAAGATGTTGCCATGGCGCGGAAGGCAATCCGGTGCGCCTCATCGGTTCGGGTTGACCCACTGACTGACAACCGTTACAACTTTTCCAATTTTTCAACACTCTTATCCAACCCTGGCCACCATACTTTACTTCTAAGCAGTGATTTCATTGCAACAATGTCAGGATGGCCTTCATGCGCAAGCTCAAGAATCTGATCACGCAACTGTAAGGGTATAACAATTCGAGTACCGCGCAATACCCTGGTACTAACTTTCCAATCGAGCACAATTCAGCACGTACTGGTAAATATTGCTTTAACTCCATACGATGCCATTGTTGTGTAACAAGACAGTGTCTTACAGAGCACAGTTCTGGATACTTCTCTGGTGCTCTTTCGATCTCGCGTGTTGTCATCGCCATCGGTGTAGCTTCTTTAGCTACAAACCTTACAGAAGCATCTTCCAAATCTAGCGACTTTTGAGCAGTGTCATTCTTAACAAGACGCGAAAACGTATCTGCGATATTCCTTGGCCCAGGAATATACCGAACTTTGAATGTGTATGGTTGCATTCGCAGCACCCATCGTTCTATTCTAGCGCAAACTTTTGACTTGGGAGAGTATATACATTCAAGCTGCTTGTGGTCAGTGAGTAGCTCGAACTCTGTACCGCTCAAAAGTCGCTAGATTTGGAAGATGCTTATGTTAGGTTTGTAGCTAAAGAAGCTACACCGATGGCGATGGCAACACGCGAGATCGAAAGAGCATCAGAGAACTATCCAGAACTGTGTTCTGTAAGACAGTATCTTGTTACACAACAATGGCATCGTATGGAGTTTAAGCAATATTTACTAAGCATGTCAGTTTTACTCGTACAGCTTAGTCGAATAGTCGGAGGCTTTAGTCGAACGATATTTCAAATTAATTTTTCATGTTATTTTTCCTATTTGTCTTTAGCTGACTGCTAGTCTGTACAATATTACAGATAAACATGAAACCTATTACACGCCCAAACTAAGGCTAGGGCCTCTTTCTCTGTCTGCGAGTAGAGATGTTCTGTATCACTCAAGCTACGGCTTGCGTATGAAAGAACACAATGTTCTCCATTTTGCTCTTGCAAAAGCACCGCCGACTAGCATCAGCTATGACTGTCGGCTCAGATTTGTCATAATAACCCAATGTTTTGGCATCTGAAAGACGACGCCTTAACTCTTCAAATGAATCTTGTTCTCTGAAATTTCCATCAAGGTTTGAAGGATTTTCCATGTACACATGTATTTGTCTTTATGTGTGAATTGGATCATGTATGCTAAATGATGTACTATTAACTGATTGTACATTGTATGTTCATCTTTCTAAACACAGACCTCTCGTAAAGAACATTTGCTTGGGGTTTAAAGTAATTGTCCAAGGCTTTCACCGCTTTAGCTCTACACTATCTAGGGATGCTTCCATATAAATATGACCAATCATAGCTTTGCTCTTCTTGAGAAGAAGATTTTTTTAAAAAAAATTCCTATGTATTCCTATGCATAACTTTAATCATCAATTGTGGCCCCACCCTATCCCCAGGGAGTCATGATTTTTAACGAACATAAATCCACACTACCTTAGGATACTTCCGAATAGTTAAATAACCAACCATGGCTTTGCTGTTCTTGAGATTTTTCCTATATACTCCTATGTAAAACTTTGATCATCCACTGTGTATCCTACCCTATATATCCTACCCTCGGGGGTCATGATTTGAACAAACTTGAATCTACATCACCTGAGGATGCTTCCATATAAATATGACCGTTCATGGCTTTGCTGTTCTTGAGAAGAAGATTTTTAAAGATATTTCCTATGTATTCCTGTGTAAAACTTTGATCCTCCATTGTGGCCCAACCCTACCCCCGGGGGTCATGATCTGAACAAACTTGAATCTACACCACCTGAGGATTTATTCATATAAATATGACTAATCTCGGCTCTGCTGTTCTTGAGAAGAAGATTTTTAAAAGATGCCATTAATTTTTCACTAATTTGTAATTACATGCGGGGGGGGGGGGGGCAATAATTTTGCCTATACAAAGAATACTTTAGAAAATATAGCTACTATATGATTGTGCCGCATCAATAATAACGTCTGATGACCTCTTTTTTTTGTAGTTTTTGGTAGTTGATAGTGCCCCACCCCAACTGAAAATGTATAGTTGTGCCCCTCAAAGTGAAATTGCTTCCTACGGGCATGAATTATCTCCCCTTGGAAGAGGGCGTGGCCCTTCATTTGAACAAACTGGAATCCCCTTTACCCAAGGATACTCTGTGCCAAGTTTTGTTGAAAATGTCCAAGTAGTTCTAAAAATGAAGTTTTGACAAGTTTGACAACGGATAAATTTCGATCAGAAAAGCTTACTTGAGCCTTCGGCTCATGTTGTACTTTCTTTAGAAGGTTATTTATAAGATATAACAAAATCTTTTAAAAGAAAAAATCAATAGGAATGGAATTTTCATCGCATACACCTTGATAAATGATGGCAACGAAAAAAAAATTGTCTTATTACGAAAGTGATTTATTAAAAATAAAAATCTGCAGTTCAGTCTAAATGTGTTTTAACATAAAGCATTTCAAATCAACAAAGTATTTGTTAATTTATAATCAGCGAATGCTATCTTATTTTCTGCGGTTTATGAGATCCTGTAAACCACGTGAGGACAACATCGCTAATAATTTCTGGAAAGAATCCATAAAACCTTCCTATTTCCTACAAAAAAAAATTCGATGGTTTATTGTAAATTTATGTATCTTGTATAGCAAATCGAGCAACAGAAATGACAAGAATTCATTTGAGCCCCCCCCCCCCCAACAATATTATTCATCCAATATATATATATATATATATATATATATATATATATATATATATATATATATATATATATATATATATATATATATATATATATATTATATATATATATATATATATATATATATATATATATATATATATATATATATATATATATATATTATATATTATATATATATATATATATATATATATATATATATATATATATATATATATATATATATATATATACTGACCGCATAAACATCTATCATTCTGGAGCTTCCTGGGACCAGATATCGAGCCCTGGGACTCTCGTTTAGCAGTGCGTCCACCACAGCATCTATGACCCTATCAGGGGAATCTGCCGAGTTCTTCCTGTTATCTCTATTGAAAAATCTATAGAAGTAGGCCTTGCCATAGAAATTCTTCACTTCCTCCGAGGCCCTCTCCCACTGAATGTCTACTTCATGACGACGGATTTTCACCTGAAAGATGATTAACATTGTTTGTATAAGGAATTCTCCTTATATAGATGCACCGGTATTTGGCACTTCATAATATGTTTAATTTACCCCCTACCCCAACCCCTCACTTTCGTAGGATTTGGAAATTTGCATGTATTGATTCGATGTCCTCCTCCTATCCATTAAATATAAATATAGACTATAGCCATAATAGACATACAGGAAAAGAAAGAATTTTGCCAATCCTAAGATTGTATTCTTTTACCCCTCCTCCCTTAATTCTTAAAGATTGAAATGATTTTTTTTCATAGATTGTTGGCAAAAATAAACACAAAATTGATACCGGAGAATGAATATAAAAATATAAGTTGTTAACTTCAAAGAGCTATTTGCGACAAATGCAATTTTACAGATTGCGTATCTATCTTTGCAATACCACCACAATTACAATTTCTGGATTGCTACAGGTCGTAGCAGCGTCATAATGCCCTGGCTCTACGATGCTGACTCCCACCCCAAGGGCTCGCATTTCCATCCTCAGACTGTCCGTCATAGACTCTATTCCATGTTTAGAGATGTGATAGGCGCTGTCTCCGGGAGATGAGTATCTCCCCATCACACTCGATATATTGACAATTCGTCCTGAATCAAAAATATGGACAAAAGGAATTATTTCATGTATTTTGCGCGTGCAAATATATTCGTGAATTACTTAGCAAGAATTTATTGTATGGGTATGTTCATCATGTAAAAATACGCTTATGATTCTAAAATCGTTTATATTACATTGATGTTAATGAAAGTCTTAAAACTTATGAATAATTAAAATACTTATATTTTTGCATTGCATTTCTACTTTGCAATCTGTTGGAGATAACCAGGAAGTTACCTTGAGATTGCCGTATGAGGGGGAGCACATTTTGAGTGACACGTATCATCCCATACAAGTTTATGGACAGACATCTCTCGTATTGCTCCATTGGCGTTGTTTCAACGTCTCCAAATACATTTACACCAGCGTTGTTTATAACACCCCATAAACCTAAGAAATGAAATATATGTATATGAAAACAACTATTCCTTTCTTCAGTTATACATGTATTTATGTTTCCATAATGAATTCCAAGTTTGATCCATTATTACTTCAAATCATTATACCTGTCAGTGTACTGTTATTTTTCATTATTATATCGAAACAATTTAAAGAGAGGATTTACTAAATAACTCTAGCATTATTGTAAGTCCATAGAGGCATTCAAATAAACACAAAATAAGTTAACTGAAATTTTATTAAATTTCCAATACATCAGTTTCCGTTAAAAAAAAGCTTTATCAACCGTCAACAGTAAATCATTTACATGTATCACTCAAAATATTAATTTATCATTTGAATGAATGTAGTTTATATATATTAAAAGTACTATCAAAACTTTATAAAATGTCAGTATTAAAAAATTGAGGATTTAGAGTAGTCCCTGGAGTCTGGGTCCTCCATTTTGTGACCCAAAGCTTAGTAAAGAATCTTTACTAAACTTTGGGTTACAAAATGGAGGACCCATCCCTGATGCTCATTACCCTATAATATTCATTCCACTCATCATGCATTTTTTTAAATTAGATTTTTAAATCATCACGCACCGTTACTTTTAGTATTCGCATTGATGTACGTCACAACTTCCTTGATGTCCTTTTCACTGGTGACGTCCAGTTGAAGAACATGAAGTCTTTTTGAACTTTTGGACTTCAACTTCTTTGCGCCTGTGCCGTCTTTGCTTAGGACTCCTGCATAGACTATGAATCCCACGTCATCTAAGTATTTAGCAAAGTGGAAACCAAACCCTGAAAAGGCGTGTGGCATATTTTGTAAACAGCATATAGAAGAAAATACATCGTTCTCATTTTCTATCTATCAATGTTTATGTACATGTAAGGTTATGTTGAATGGAGTTTTTCATGAGCAGAGCATCGCAGACATAAAGGAAATAACATATATTATTACATTTTCAACAGTGAAATACTGTGATTTATTTATTGAATAAAAGTGATATTCTCTCATAGTGTGAAAGGATACCAAGATGATATTCTCTCACAGTGTGAAAGGATATCAAAGTAAGTAAAAAATAATTTCTGGACTGTCATAAGATAGAGATAGTAACTTGATACAGCTAAAACTGCAAATTTCTTCCCAAATATGTTGCTAAAAGCCATGCTATGTAATGTTTTCAATCTCAGAACTGCTAAGCTGTGACGTCTCAACCGTTCAACTATGACGTCAAGCCTATGACACTGTGTTAAGAAAAGACAGAGGCAAAGGGAAAATCAAAGAAAATGTAATAAACAGAAAAATCAATGTTTTGTAGATGAATATGGAATTTATTTCACTCGTGAGACAGGATTTTTTTATATTTTCACTCGTGCTTCGCACTCGTGAAAATATAAAAAAAATCCTGTCCCACTTGTGAAATAAATTCCATATTCATCAACAAAACATTGAATATCCTCTATATATTTGCATTACGGGATCTGTAGCGTTATGGTCCAAGATTAAAATATTAAACCATAATTCTACAGTTCTGCAGCTAATTCTATGGGAGCTTTGAATGTACATGTATATATGAAAGAAAGCCTAAAAATTTACCGTAAAGCTTTAAGGAGAATCTTTGTGTTGTCTGTCTTCAGAGATGCTGAAGTGACTGAATCGTGGTTAAATACTGGTAAGACTACATGTACCTTACCGTTCTAGCTGTTACATTATTAAAAGTTCCCGGCGAGGGTTGAGGGGGTACAAATGATTTGAACGAGAACGGCTTGGGGAAAATCTCTGTACCTATATGTCAACTTGCATATATTTGAGAAGCAAAGTTATTGTAACCTACAGCTTGAGAAGCCTAATAATGGACTCTTGTCACATTATAAGGAATATTAATTACGATATTTGAAAGAGAGAGAGAGAGAGATTTCCTTGAACAGACCCCCCAACATTACACTAAGTTTTTGCGTCGTAATTATTTCCAAACAATATCTAGTTTATTATTGTAGATTTCACTCCAAACAGGAATGGACCAAGGTGTGATTTAAAAAAAATATATATATATAAAATACTTTCATGGGTAAACAAATTTTGTTTAACGAAATATGCATTCTTTCTCCCTTTTTCTTGTTGTGAAACAGCTTAATCATGTTAATAAGCAGATAAGGGAGATGAAGAGTTACACGCACAAGAAATTATGAAGCAAAAGAAAATTAAACGTAATATCTACTTTTATCTTTCGAATCGACAGTCCATTGATTCGAGCGACTCAGAATTTACGCACAACAGGAGGAAACAGAGAGAAATACACAGTATACAGCAGCGAGTTGTAAAGACAATACATGTAGATGTCGACTGTATACCCTCAGTCATTGCATGGTCAGCCATCAATAGTGTACGACTGTGACATGACGATGGATTCTGATTCAAGAATTTTTTTTAAAGAAAACAAATTACAGAATATTGAACAATTATTATGATGCCCATTGTGATATAAAATTTTTAAAAGTTTAATCTAATTAAAATTAGATCCTTCACGCTCCTGTATTTTGGTATGTCGCCTTACAGCGACATATCAAAATATAGGATCGAGCATAAAGGATCTAATTTTAATCAGATGGTAAAAAGTTATGTTTCAAATATTTTAATTAAACATATTCTTTAAATATAGAATAATGCTGTAATACGTTTAATATTGAATTTTTTTTATCCATATTCAGTGACACGGGTAAATCTATCATTCCACCCCCCCCCCCGGAATTTGCAGACTTATTAAAAGTATAAACTGAAACAAATACAAAATGACTTGGGACCCCTCCCCCCTTCCTAGAAAACGTGGACCCCACCACCACGAAATGGTTTTTTTACGTTTGGGAATGAATTTTACTTTCTTTGTTTTTCTTTCTTTCTTTCTTTGTTTTCTGTTTGTTTGTTTTTTTTTTTTTTGTTCATTACAGCAGGTACTTGTGGACAGGACCACCCCACCCCACCTCCCTCGATCCCCAGCCCCAAATATTTAACCCTGGGCCTTTTTGGACATTTCTTCACAAATCATATTTATTACACTTATTTATCAAGTATACTGTAGGAAAATCGGGAAAAAACGCAAAATAATCATTCCATACAGAAAGTACCCCACTTTACATTAAAAGAGTATTTTTTGTATGGAACGATTATTTTGTGTTTTTCATAAGCCATGGTGGGGGGGGGGGGGGGGAAGCGGTTTGCGCGAGGAAACTCCCAGACTTTTTAATTTTTTTTTTTTTTTTTTTTTTTTTTTTTTGGTAATGACGTTTTTGAGTTATTTTTAGCTAACAACTGAAAGACTCAATTTTAGGTCACGAAAGAGGGAGCCCTGTCCCAGACTTCCCTCTAAAACCAGCACCGTCCTAATTGTGAAAAATCTGATTTAAATGAGAGATAAAAAAACGAAAACACAGTTAACCCGTACTACATATACCGTTAAATAATTAAGAATCACCTGCAGATATTGATAGATGGGAAACCACATTGAAAGATAATGATTTCACAAATACTGATACATGAATAAAGCGTAACTGTGATTAACAGTGATTTTATCTGCATTTAAAGCACATCTATCCTGCGATTGTTTATTGGTGTATTCCTTTGGGTGAAATTAGCAAGTCAACTATGAAAACAATGGTTTCAATGGTATAATTCATAAATGGATGATAGTTATATTTCTTATATATATATATATATATATATATATATATATATATATATATATATATATATATATATATATATATATATATATATATATATATATATAAGTAATAGTTATTGAATATTTATTATGGTGTATCCTGATTTATTTGGACGAAGGGCGGTGACGAGTGCGAAGCACGAGTCTCCGCCCCTTCGTCCAAATAAATCAGGATACACCATAATAAATATTCAATAACTTTCTTGTATCATGGCCAATCAAAACATCAATAATTGTCATGTCACACATTTTCAAGCATGATTTTTAATTACACCAATAAAAAATATAGTTTTTGTCAGGTGACCGCGTGTTCTTTTATGTATAGGATGCTGTTCTTAATAAATTAACTCTTTTTCAAAAAATGACATAAAATGTTCTAACCTCTGTCACAGCCCGTCACTAGAACAGCTCTATTCTTCACCGGAAGTAGTTTCTTACATTTTGACTGGACATACCGAAATATCACATACACCACCAACAATGCAAGAATAAAATAAATGTTCACATAAATTAGCAGGAGCAAGATTACATAGGATACGACATATATCAACCACTCTAAAATATCCTCCTCCATTTTGGAGCCAGGGACTTTAGTGGGGACGTCTACACAGTTGTCACCTATTGAAGATAAGCTTCTTGTACAGGTGTTGATTTCACACGTTTGAGTAAAGAACAATATATATATATTCCTGGGTCTCTTACGTCTCTTTCGTCTCATAATTAGTGAGTTTACGAGCGGCGCAACTAGCAGCCCCCCATCCCCCCCCCCCCCCCGAAAATGCGGAGACCTTTTTATTTTACTTGCCCCAAATTGCGTGAATTAAATGTTTGTAATGCATCTTTTATCAATTATTTAGTTATATGTAGCACTTCGTTACAAGCATCATATTTGGGAAGCACATTCCTAGGTCATGTTGATGAGCAAATACATCTTATACCTTCAAACCTGGGCTCAATATTTAAGGACACAAGTATATCATAGAATCTTGCGTTAACTCCAGCTGCTCGTAATGTATATTTTTTTTGATAAAAATATTTACTAATCATTTTGTAGTGACATGTAGTCGAATGTGATAAATGACGCGCATGTAGAAAATCTCAAGATACTTTATACATATTATGTCCCTGGTGCTGTATAATATCGGAGACCAAGACTTTTGATCTTAAAACACACTTTTTCACTTCAATGCATTCTTAATTGGTATACGATAAGGTCAGCGACTGTATACGAAACACAGTTATGAAATCTAGAGCTTGATCAGTGTTGATTACACAATCCCTGCACCTGGGATGAAACGCATCCCCACTCATGGCGCGAACTCCAAGCGTGAGAAAATCGATTGTTTTGACCAACACTAAACCTCGGCCAATCAACGTGGACCAAACATGTAGAGACCACCAACCGAGTGGACAGTGAAATCTTCTGCAAACAAGAGAGGATGAAGTTACTGAAGTTATAGAGTTTAAGAGGATTAAGGTGAGTGACAAATCCACTAATGTATATCTTATTTTTTATGACAAGAAAGGCGTGTTTCTACTCTAGTCGCAAGAAACTATGAGGTATTAATTGTCATTATAAATTTCAGTTTTAAATTAATAAATGAATTAAAAACTTAGCTGTAATTAACTAAATTATAATTATACCAAAACGTAAATAAAATATGTTTGCCTGTCTTTTCGACTGTTTTTCACCTTTCATTCAAAGACAGAAATATCTCTTGTACTATATATTTCTTATGTACAGCAGAGATTAAATTATATATGTTTGCACTTGTATTTCTGCAGATATACTAAGTAAGTATATAGTTCCCTGATTTTCTGTATATATTTCATGAACATATTTCAAAGTATTGGAAAGGAGGGGATATTGACAAGGAAAAGAAAAAGAGATTATTGAAGAAAAGATAAACTGTCCAATACTCGTAAAGTTTTTTTTGGGGGGAGGGGGTGCTTTTCAAAGAAAATTTCCATTCTAAATTAGCTGTAAAAGATTGTTCTAGGATAAAATGGGAGCCACCCAGCCCACCCCAGGTCCCTAACTTGAACATGTTGTCTAATTACTGTATAGACAACAATGAAAATTTCCATTCTAAATTTGCTGCAAAAGACTATTCTAGGAAAAAGTAAGGACCAACCAACCAATCCCCCAGCTTGTACATGTTGTCTATGAAGTTTTTTTGATTTGTGAATATTAGCAGAGTTTCTTTTATATTCCCTCATTTTACGATACTATATAAATTCTTCACAAAACAAAATATTTCCTATTGTTCCTAAACATTATTGATTATTTTTTTCGCAAAACTTAATGGCATTTGCTTTGACTCAATAGTAAGTAATACTTTTAAACACATACGTACATGTTCTAATAACACCAACCACTCTGCATGTATATTAAGTGTGAATACAAATCATTGATATGCATCAGCTCAGAATTGCATTTTGATTACAATAGTATCGTAGATTTACTAAGTATTTTCTGGGTCGTAAATGCGAGGTTAATTGTTTTATCAAGTCGCTTCGTCAAATCACAGACACTTAGGTACAGTGCTAACAAGCTGTTTACCATTAGCGAGGTACCTATATAAGATAGTCATCATGAATTGAATGTTAATTGTCAGTTAATCATCTCATGCAGACGAGGTGCAATCATTTAGATTTTGGTGCAGCCGGCGGACTTTTTTAACGTTTCACTTTTTAGGCTTTTAACAGTAGTACAAAATACAGAAAAAGCTGCACATCTTTATTAATTAATTAATTACGACTCAGTATATCCCTTATGAGGTGATAACTACTTCCACAAATCTGACTCTGTTGCCTAACTTCATGCGATATTGAAAGCAATCGAAAAATATCATCATTCATATATTACAGTATAACAGAACTCCTTAGTTTCCTCGTTGCACATGTTTTAGGTTCCTTATTTCTCTGTATAAATTTCAGTTTAAATCCGAGGGGCAGGATATTGGATATGATCCCCTTGAACCATAACAACTGCAGAGTTTAGTTGACTCAACAGACCTCCAGCTGATATATCTGTGGTAAGAAAGATAACTCTTGAATTTACCGAAAACACGTTGTCAATGACAAAACATTCCGTTAAATGATTAATTATTTTAACTATGACCGAGGTTAATAGAAATTCGATTTACTTTTGTATGTACAGTGCATTGGCCATTTTAAGAAGTAAGCAACCGTCGTTTATGTAGAGTGCATCGACCATTTTAATGAGTTAGTTACACTGCACCGTCGTCTAATGCCTTGTATATAATATTTATCTTGCTGTATGCAATGGTACTAAGTTTGAAAACGAGAAAAAATAATATGTCAAATATCAATGAGTATTTGTTAAAAATAAATTTTCTTAGAAAGTTACACCGATACAGGTTCATAGATTTATTTAAAAATCAAATCAAAATACGACTGAAAACAAAACGAATCAAGCAAACAACTGAAAAAAAAAAAAAGAATATTTTTCTGAGTATCCAAAAAGAAATAAGGATTTCATAAAAAAAAAAAATAATAAAAAAAAAAGAAGAAGAAAGAATTCGAAAAGCCAGCATTCAAATACATGATATACATCTGTCTTAGCTTGTGCATGTACTTGTAGTGCTACATAATATTGGTTAGGGATCTGCTTTATATATATATATATATATATATATATATATATATATATATATATATATATATATATATATATATATATATATATATATATATATATATATATATATATATATATATATATATATATATATATATTAAAAAAATAGTTTTTTGATTTTTTTTTCAAATGTTTTAGATTGTTAAAGGTTGGAGAAAAATGCTCGTGTAGAATTATGATTATAGCTCTACACATAATATTAGAGGTAAATTAATAATTTATAATTTATAATACATCATCCATGCAGGTCATTTTTTTTTGTATATTTTATGTTATTATTTTTTTATTTTCACATTTCAACCACGGACACGGATGGTTTTGATGGCATAAGTTACAGTGCCTAATTTTTCTTAAAACGGTTTCATCTTTAAAATTTGAATCATATATATATATATATATATATATATATATATATATATGTAGTTTCATTTATCAAGTTTATAGTTTCTGGAAAAAAAAAACATTGAGAGAGAAGAAAAAATATATGCCCCGGGTGAGGATCGAACTCACGACCTTCAGATCGCTCTTGCATGTGTGATTATGAGACTGACGCGCTACCTACTGCGCTACCGAGGCACTTAATTTATCAAGGTTGAAAATTCATTTTTTAAACTTCGTGTACAGAAAACTCCATGAATTCACCTATATTAGAAAAAAAAATGTAGTTGTCCATATTACATGTATAATTGATAATTTTGCAGTCAACGATCATTCTAGGATATTGGTTGTCTATAAGTCGTCTAAAACTAGCATGACGCGCAAAGTCATCATCGACAAATCTCGTGTATTTCCGTCAGTTCTGCCCATTCTCTATCCAGAGTTGTCGTTCCCGCTACGCCACCGATAGAGAATGAGACTATCCCCGCGATATATGTACGATAGAGACAGGCAATACCAGTTTAAGCTTTGCCGAGTATTGACGGCGAACCGATTTTATCATGATTGTAAAAAATTGATAAGCCTGCATACTGCAAAGTTCAAATTCCTTTTGATTCGGAAGTGAAAAACAATAACAATTTGAATATGATAGACTATATAAAGTAATATATTGATACTCAGCTTTTTGATACCGAGATTGTGCTTAATTTAAAAAAAATAGGAAGAAGATATTCAATAGAAACAGAAACTTATAATTAACATATAACAGTTTACCTAGGTCTCGGCCAGAACGAAGTATAATTATAGATGTTAGTGGTTATAACCACTTATTTTTCTATAACAACATGTAATATGTGGAGCCCGCGTAGCTCAGTCGGTAGAGCATCAGACTTTTAATCTGAGGGTCTTGGGTTCGAGTCCCAACGTGGGCGACGAATTTTTTTTTTTTCGTATTTCAATAATTTATGCACAAAACAATAAAGCATAAAATTTAGTGCATTTTAGAATCTTTATTTTTTCTTCAATATCTTTTTTTATTATCTGCTGAACTGTAGCTCTCTGGTTGAAAAATTTCGGACAGACGAGCCAGAGACCTACAGATCCAACCATTGTAAAGCGTCGCCTTTTTGTCGAACGCTTCGGTTGTTATTTCTTGTATTATACGAGTTCCACCGCCAAAAGCATGGTATTCGTTATTAACAATATGTTTTACTCATAATCCTGATACTTTATTTACCTTTTCACTGTCCCAGACAGCATGACCTCAACATTGATGTCGGAGTTTGAAACTGACATTTCCAAGGCCACATTGAGCTGTTTGGGACCGCCTTATATAAGATTGGTAGTGATGGTAACAAAGCAAGTGTTTCGGCTGCTTTCCTCGCACTGTTGTTTTTATGTTGTTTCCCTTGTGTTAACTCTCCATCAACTTCTCATTGTCTCCCTTGTTAACTCTCCATCGACTTCTCATTGTTTCCCTATAGTGTCCCCTCTTCTTCGTCCTCTTATTGTCTCCCTTGTTAACTCTCCATCGTCCTCTCAATATCTAATTTGTTCACTCTCCATTGTCCTCTCATTGTCTCCTTTGTTTACTCTCTATTGCTTTCGCATTGTTGATCTCTAAGTTGTCTTACTCTCGTGTTGTCGCCGTTCTTTTTTCATGTCAGTTCACTACAGTCAGTCAGACTGGTTACTTAAAAACGTCATTAAATCTGACCACAACTGTTTGAGTTACACGAGGACAGCTGTTTTGGTTTTCTTTTTTCGACTTCGTTCATGGAGGAAATAAAGTAAAGTGGAAATCAGCAAATCAAATTTCAGAATGATTCAGCAATCTTGTAAGGGAAAGAGATAAAAAAAATTGCCGGGGTTGAGTTTAAAACTCACAACCTTCAGATGGCTCGTTATTGTGATCATAAGACTGAAGCGCTACCTACTGTGTTAATGGCGCTGTTGCATGAGCATTTTGCTTGTTCCTTAGGGTGGATGGGTGAACAGAGATGAGGTTCTTGAAAGGAAAAATTGCGTTCAAAACTGTCGCTTGGGATATGATTATAGCTCATTACAATTTACATGATAAATACATTGCAAATAAATCGCAAAAGTCGTTAATAGATATTATATAACTTTTTCAAATTTGGTGCCACAACACGCAATTATGTAAAGAGGTGCAGTAGGAGGGGGATAAAGAATATTTGTTTGCTTGAGGTACCTTCGAGAACATTTCACTTATATTGGAACTCCATCAATTGCTGGTTGAAAGCTGCAAATTTACACGTGTATTCAACACTTACAGCCATTGAGTTTTGAGGTATTTTTCGTGCCATCAACTTCTGGGACAGGAGACCTCGATTTATACGTCTCACCGATCTCACGTCCAGCAGTGGATTCTAACAGCGACATAAGGATCAACTCCTCACTCTGCGACTCTAACCACTGTGCACTTCATGCGACAAAAGAGGAAAAAAGAGAAACACGTAAGAAGAGAAGGAGAAACGGGGGGGGGGGGGGTTCGCATGTGTTTTTATTATCAACTTGCTGTATTACAGTATTTCAATTTTCTGCTTTTAAATCACTTTTTGAATTGTTGAATATAATGTTATTGACCTAACTTCTGTACTGACATATTGTGTGCTCCATAGCGATGGTTAATGCTGATCAAAGCGAGTTTTTTCATTCTCATTTGCGACAGGTATCCACGTTTGTACACTGTATGAGGGATGTATCTCTAAGTGCACTGTTAAACGTTGGGTTCTGACTTGTCGCTTTCCCACTAAATTTAGACAGGTAGTGACGTGCATCAAATGTCAGAAGTGATAGAGCATGCTAACCATGTAAGAAAGGATCGGGTCCAGGTCAGTATTCTTTTTCCAACCTTTCCCCTTCCGCGACCAATTAAACGTGTATGTTGTCGAAGATAAAATAATCTCAAGAGAAGAATTACAAAGTGATTTTACCTTTGTGTTATCTACATGGAAATAGAGCTTGATGAAAAAAAATATGATGAAATATAGTTTGCCTTTTATAGTAAGTGCTTATGTTGAACTTCATCGTGAATTGCAGCTTTTCTCGTGAAGAGTCGTATAATAATAGTGCATGCAATCTCCATACATTTACAAGTGCGTTGAAAATCTTCAGTACTCTTCCATCATTTAGAATGTTTCTCAATTTAAAACCAAACTTTTATCTTTTTTTGAGTGTATTTTGATGCAAGTTTCCGTAGTACTTAGTCAATGGGGCTTTGATCATGCAACGATTTGGATTTACATGTAATATTAATAACCCTTAATGACCGTTCACGGTAGCTCTGTCGATAGAGCGTTTGCTCCGTGATTGGGAGGTCGTGAGTTCGAATCTAGGCCGCGACTGACCTAAGTCGATAAAAAATGGGTAGCAACTGTTCCTTCGCCATGCGCTTGGGACTTTGAAGTGAAAGTTGCGGGTCCTTCGGATGAGACCTTAAAACCGAGGCCCCGTGTCACGGCAGGCGCTGGCACGATAAAGATCCTTCACTGCTCAATGGCCCTGAGTGCCGAGTAAAGGTCAAAATTTGAAGCCCTTCACTGGTATATGGTGACGTCTCTCTATATTTAGAAAAATTCTCGAATCAATCAATCAATCAATAACCCTTAATACTAGTAGTTTTAGTCTGCTGAAACAGTTGGTATTGCTAGGGGCAGGAAAGGGGTCACATTGGATGTTAAGAACCTTTCATAATATTTCAATCCAAAACTGTAATAAAAGTTACCGAAAGAACACAAAAACGCTTCATTTCCTCAGAAAGATGTTAATGATTCTTATGTTGAATAGTGTTCAAGTTTTGACCGATCTGTACAGACTTTTTGTGTAAATTTTCTATAAATGCAAGAAATTCGATATATAATTATATATATATATATATATATATATATATATATATAAAATATAATATAATATAATATAATATAATATAATATAATATAATATAATATAATATATATAGTTCATTTTATGTCAGGATTGCAGTTGCAAACATGAACCCTAATTTCAACCCATAACAGAAAGGAATTGTAAAATTTGAAAAACAAAGATTGTTTTCATCTATAGAAATGAAGAACGTTGAATCAGTGGGATCAATAGTTCATGTGATTATTTGTAAAAGAATTTTTCGATGAAATTTCAAAAAAAAAAATTTGATGGAACCATTGAAAACCCGGAGACAGTAATATATTTTTCATTTAATTGACATATAAAGTTAAAAAAAATGATTTTCTCCGAGTTGAGATAAAATTATTTTCCAAAGCCAAGTATCTTAAATTAAAAAGAGTGAAAACGAGCACATATATACATACATCATTGAAGGATTAGTTTACAGCAATTTAAAAAATACATGGGCGATTCGATTAACAAATGTTAAATGAAGCTGAGCATCCGATACACTGTAGGTTTTTTGAGACAAGAAGGTAGTACTTCGTTTTCAACGTTCACCTTTCTCATTCTTCCAGCAAGAGTTGTCATTTAAAGTCCATGTAGTAAAAAAGTATCATTGATCAGTGTGTATACGTTTTTCTGCTGTAAACGGGAGCGAGAGAGAGAGAGTCTCCATTGTATTTTCTCATGTGCTGCTAGCTGTCCAGCCAAACCTTATGATAAGCATCCCAGAGAAAAGAAATCCCGGTGTCTGTTTGATATGTATGATTACAACAATGAAAACACTTAAAATTGAGAAGACCTCTTTTCTCTGACTATATATTCACTGCGGTAACAGTGTATTTACTTTAGAATTCCTTCGAACGAGTTGTCTGTTTCTTTACTTTTTCAAAAAAAGGGGGAGGGTTCTCGTACGTTAGGTGACCATAGGTGCGCCCTGAAGCAAGGCAAAAAGGATTTTTGTATTGCAGGTATATGTGCATTTGCTTCAAGATACTTTGTATTGGAAAAAATATTTTTATCATTCACGATGACATGGAATTTACTTCATTCCATAAACTAAATTGTTAAAATCTTCGTACAAGTTGTTTTAAATCCCTTGAGAGAATTTTTAACTCATACGAGACGTCACCAACTCCTACCGTGAGACGGGGCCTCAGTTTTTATGGTTTCATCCGAAAGACCCGTAGCTTTCATTTCCAGTTCTGGGCTTTTGGCGAAGGAACAGTCACTACTTATGTCTTAGAGTACAAAACTGAAGAAGATTTATGATTTTTTTTTAATTTGAAATTGAGTTAATTAAGAGCATTTCGTGTTTTATTAGAATTGTCTATTATTTTCTTGTACTTTTAAAATTTTTAAATGTACTGTTTAGTGTTAATTTCCTTACATGTCACAGATGTTCGAGTTACTATTACATCGCTTGTGTTAAACAAAGGGAATTCTTCTTATTAAACTATTATTTCAATATGTTGATGAATTTGCCATTGTCGAACGTGGTCGTGATGTATTTCTTTTAACACAGTACATTGTATAATCACAAGTTAAGGTTCCTTGCCTGTGTCCATTTAATGGTATGTCGATCCATATGATGTTATATCCATGTACTCTATCTGACCCAGTATCTTGACTGTTTATCTTATGACATTGTTTAAAACACAATTTTGCTGAAGATATCAATCTTAAGATTTCTTTTCAATTATAAAACATTCTAAACAACGACCATTTATGCAAGACAAAATACTTTCAAAACAATGTTAAAACTTTTTAAAACAATATGTAAAAACTGAGAGACTTAGTGTTTATTAAAACTTAAATCACATATATTCAAATTTTGGATCAAAAGAACATTAAATGTTTACATGTATGTGAAATGGAATAAAAAAACATACAAAACAAGCATAATTTTGTATTTATATTTCATGATAATCCTGTATTTTAAAACATTTCCTGATTCTAGAATGCTCTTCTAAAAATCTAGCATTGTGGTAATTTTCTATTTTAAAATTATGTGATTATTTTCTATGTTATAACAGATAATTTGTAGCGTACTATTAAAGACACAAGTCTGACCACCTAATTGCACTTTGCAAACCACTGTACACTTCACTGTTAAAACAAAATATTGGTATAAAATTAACCTTATATTCCATTAGAAGCCATGAAACGAATAGAAAGAAAAATCATGAAGACATTTACAGCAATAAATTAATGATATCTTTCCGATCAGCCGATGGACGGTGAAGAACACATCAAAAAGTTACCGCCAGGGGGCGTTATATGTGATCAAGAGAGTTACGCTACTTTCACATCTCTTGAGCTTATGAAGTAAGTTGTTTGAAATGTGAAGAATCTATGGTCGATTCAGTTACCCCGATAAACCCGCGATAGCCTTTCAGAATCCTTTCAATCGGCCCTTCAGGTTATGTCTTCATTGTCCAGTCCATTTAAACAATCAACCCTCTCCATTACTGCTTAATACACCCGATGAAGCTTATCAAAACTATCGCATTTAGACTCTTTCTTTTGAATAAAGAAATTTATGGACACTAAACACTTCAGTGACTGAGAAATTATATATATGTCAGATGGAGCTTGTTCATGGAGGGGGTGGTGGTGGCATATACTAGTGTCTTTCACTAATTAACAATTTTCAATGACCAATGAGTACATGACTAATTAGTCATGTACACATTGGCAATTGAATATATATATATATATATATATATATATATATATATATATATATATATATATATATATATATATATATATATATATATATACATGCATATGAAAAATCGTACTTCGAGCCAATTTAATGTTTTCTTTTTTCCCCTTTTTTGTAAATATTGTGAAGACCGGGCTTAAAGAAACTGGAAGAGTTTACTTGTACAATACACGTACAGAATTAAAAAATTGCTCATTATACATGTAAAATTGGATGATATAAACTTATAAGATTGATGTATTGAACTATGTTATATAATTGATATACACTTTTAATGCCAGGACCTCTGTGTTAAGTGTTAAATGTTAAAGAATTTGGAAAAAAAACTTGAATGTCAGATTCAAATGTTAATTTTTTTTTTTTATCTTTTAAAATAGTCTTGAGAAATACAAAATATAGCATATTGAATCTAATTGAAAAAAAATTTTTTCCAAAAGCGAAAAATTAGAAATTCTTTAACATTTAAGTTATGTGAAGGGAAATCTCTAGGATCGAGGAGATGCGGCGTAGGTTTTTTTTTCTCTCCATTTTAGTCTCGTTTTTACATATTTATTGTGGTAATACAAAATAGCTGAAATTTAAATCAATGAATACATGTATTTCGATTTTTATTAAGCTGAGAATATTTATGTGTAAAACTGAAATTCATTTATAAAGAATTTATAGAGAGGAAACTTCATAATGTCGCATATGTTAAATGTTATACCAGAAACAAAAGACGTAATATTATTAATTTAACCCCCGAATGCAAAATAACTTTGCT